GCAAAATCCCCTATATCCTATATCATACAGTACTCAGAAATGCACTTATTCTGTGAAACCCCAAAGTCTATGACAGTGTATGAGTACAACAAAATTCTCAACCTACTTGGCCAAGTTGATTTCCTGTTATTTACTCAGGCAACACCTTCCTCATTAGTCCACTGAAGTTATGTCCACATGATTCAATAATTCTTAAACTAAAAGCAGAGCCACCTGAACTACTCAGCAAAGAAGTGCCCTATGGTAGATTACCTTAGAGTTTTGCTTGTTTTGTTTAAGGCCATTTTGCTTTCAATTATCATCAATGAGTTTCATGCACAAAGACAGAAAAAGAGAAGCTAACACTGGTCTCTACTACAGCGTTTGGCAAATGATTAGTAGTCAATGTTTCCTGAACACAAGATAATTTTATTATACGTACCAGCATAAGCAGCAAAGCAACAGAAACAGATTATTAAATTGAAATTAAAAGGCTTCAATATAATTAATTAACATCTATCTTCCTGGACATGTTGAACTTCTGTGAGAAAAGGGTCTTTATCTAGTTCGCTGCTATATGCCCAGTGCCATCAGAGTGGCACGTGCCAAGAGCTCAATAAATGTACTGAACTAAGTAATGAAAAAACTTGACTAAAAAAATAAGAATAAAGTCACAGTCTTAAAAGTGTGAAAAGAATGAGTCATCAAATCCAAACGCCCACCCAAACAAAATTTCCTTCTTTTGATATTTTGCATTTTGACCACTCAATGGGAAAAGAACTCATGAACTAATAAGATAGCCCATTCCAATTGTGGAAGAATTCCAAATGCCTTCCCTCTGCTCCTCCCGCCACATCAGGCCCTTTTAAGGCAGTGATCTCCAAAGTGGGGCGTCTATATTCCAGAGAGTACAACAGATGATCTGTGTCTAGGGAAGGAGGAAGAAAATTAGACATCCTATATTAAATTTTTCACACTGTGAGATTTAAAAGTTGTGCTAATATTGAGTATACAAATGGGCACTGGCACGCTCACTCAGGCCATACATCAGACTAGTACAAAGAGAAGACTAGGAGTTCCACAGAGGGGAAGAGTGAAGGGGGGGTGCCCTCAGCTGGATGCTCCTCTTCAGCACACTGAAACTTCCTTGAGCATACTATATTCCACATAATAAAAGCAGACCTCTGAACAGTGCAATCTTTGTAAAGAGACAGGAAGTGACAATAACTTTCTGATTTCCTGGGTTTTCTATGGCCAAATATCTAAGAGTTGAATTCAAAGATGATAAGCAATTTTCTTCTACACAAAGAGAAGAGTTCTAAATATGCTGACTGTTTATGTGATGACGGATGGTTATCACTAGTATATGCTACTTCAATAATAAGTGAGAAAGTAACTGCTTTTCAAAAGATACCTTTACTAAGGGAGAACCTTTTTTGAAAAATTATATTTGGAAATATTTCCATTGTTACATGATTTTGTTGCTGAAACAATATCTATTAAAAATACCACCTTTTTTTTAAGTCATTATCAACACAGGTTAAAAAAGGTTTGAAAACATAGAAAGATTATTCAAATGAATTTAAAAGTCTTCTGAACAAAGAATTTTTTAAAATAGGTTTTAAAGTTAATTTTTATATATATAAATGTATATTATTTATATAAAAATGAAATACCTTCCAATTAATTAGCAAGAATAACTGATTGAGATGCAGGAAGAAGGGAACGTCACAGCCAATTTCAACACAATCCTATGTCTAACTGATGGTTGAGAATTGAAACATTAGCAATGTCACCAATGACGCAACTCTTCTATTTGGATCCCTGAATCTTTGTAAGGTATCTTTTTTTCAGTCATGAAAGTCATTAAAATCAAGTGTCAAAAGTAACTGAATTTGGAATCAGAACTTTGAATAGTTATACCTAAGGGCCACATCAAGATTTTTCTTAGTCATCAACACAGAATGCTATAATTAATAAATAAATAAATCAGCACAGCAAACGTTTACTGGATGCTTTATTTCACGTTATCGTTTTGGTTGGGCATATCCTTCACCTTCAAGGAGCAGAATAAAACAATCTTCAGATTAAATCTGGCCATAAATTATTCTGCCAAGGATCCTGAAGTCAAACTGTAAAATTCAAATATCACCTCTGACTTCCCATGAGGATTAAATAAAACCACACAAATGAGAGTGCCTAGCACAGTGTTTGAAGTAAATAAATAGATGCTTAATAAACATTAACTGCACTTTCCTTGGCTTGAAGCCATATAATTAATGAACCAAGAATTAGACAGGTTTGAATCCTCATTGTACCACTTGCTAGCTGTGTGAGTAGGAGCAAATTATTTAACTTCAACTGTAAAATGGAAATAAAAATATCCACCTTATAGATCATTAAAAGAAAAGTCAATAAAGAATAATACATAAACTCATTCAACCCACAAAAGACTATTAATAAATGTCCAACCCCTCTCCTTCAAGATAGCCTATTCATAAATGTACCAAAAGTATAGACTCATAGGAGGTTAAATTAAAAACTATCCATCAGGGGACCAGCTAGGTGGTTAAGTTTGCACTCTCGCTTTAGCAGCTCGGGGTTCGCGGGTTCGGATCCCCGGTGGAGACCTACACACCACTCATCAAGCCCTGCTGTGGCAGCATCCCCATATAAAATAGAGAAAGACTGGCAACAGACGTTAGCTCAGGGCCAATCTTCCTACCAAAAAAGAAAAAAATACATCCATCAGAATCCCTATCTTCTAGTAAGAATTACAGCAATACGGTATCCTCACACAGTGCCTGGCATGGAGTGTACACTTCACTAATGTTCACTGAACTAACTGTGGCAGCCAGCGCTGGCCTCGTGTGGGACTAGGTCTTTCTGTTATTCAAACCAGGGCTCTTTCCACTATCCTGCGTACCCTCCCTAGTTTAAGTCATCTCCTTACTGATGAGAATATATGCTTATTCCTATTAGTACCAGTTAAGGGTCATAACAAGGTGTTACCATAATTTGAGTTTTTCAGGGTTCTATGGCTAAGGAAGTCACTACCCTGTTAAAAATACTTTTGCATGGGGGCCAGCCCAGTGGCGCAGCGGTTAAGTTCGCACATTCTGCTTCGGCGGCCTGGGGTTTGCTGGCCTGGATCCCCAGGTGTGGACATGACACTGCCTGGCAAGCCGTGCTGCAGTAGGCGTCCCACATATAAAGTAGAGAAAGAGGGGCACAAATGTTAGCTCAGGGCTAACCTTCCTCAAAAAATAAAATAAATAAAAATAAAAATAAATACTTTTGCATAAAAGAAAAAAACCCACAAGCTTCTTCCTTAAATCAGGAGGAAAAAAAAGGTTTCCTTTTGTTTGGCACAACTATCAGAGGAAAGTGGCCTATGTTTATGAATTCCTAAATGTAAACTGTGTAGGCATGCTTTTAGGATGGCAAAACTCTAGAATGGTACAACCAAGACAAACTGTAAGCAGCCAGCTCCAGCGCAATCAACAAAGCCACTCCATTCTTGTCAAACTCAAGGCTGAATACACTTGAGTAAAATACTATGCACCGAACATACACATGCAGGTACAACCGTATACGGTGAGTGGAAATACACATGAAGCACCTGTAAGACACAGTGAGTCAACCCGCAGCTTCTGGATGACAAATAGAAAACAGGTTTTAAAATGTCTGAAAATTGCAGCTTCGGCGCTTTCGCAACACCTGCGTTTACGACCTGTCACGTGAAGCCAACAGGCACTAATGGGGCCACACAACCATTCACAGGCTGGCTTTGTAAATATACGATGAAGCAAAAGCGGGCAGACCTGCAGAGGAGGCCAGCACCTAACTTTCTTCCAGGTGGCAAACGCTGTCCCGAGACTGCGGTGTGCAAGCAGCCAACCCAAAATAAAGGAAGAACTAAGGATTCTGACATCCGCAAAGGTCCTCCTCATCCTTAATCTTTCCGGGGTGTCATCTCATGAAATAGGGTTTGTATGCCACAGAACCCCGAGACCCCTCCTACCCCAAAGGGCAGCGCTGGTCCCCTCCTCCGATGGACCCCTTTCAGCCAGCTTCACAGACCCCAAACCACAGACTCAACGGATTCCTATACTGCAGATTCACTACCTCTAAGTTTCTGGAGCACGTGATTTGGGGGCGCAAACTCGCTAGAAACAGACTCAACAAGACTTGAACACATTTTTCTGAGCCCTGCCACGCTTGGATCCAAACAATTGCCGGGGAGGGTCTGAACGTCACCAACCTTGGATGACGCTAGTTCAAAGCGCCCCAAGGAGAAGAGCGAGTCCCGCCCGGCCGGCCGCCGGCAGCTCTTACCCATTTGTCCAAGGGAACCTGGGCGAGGGACCCGGTGCCCTGGTACAGGTCCAGGCTGAGCTGCTCCAGGCTCAGCTTCTCCTGCAGGAAGTGGCCCAGGTACCTCTGCAGGAGGTAGCGACAGGCCCTCTTCTTGATGGACTCGGAAAACGGCCAAGGCATGATGAGGGCTGGCAGCTGGGCCGGCGGGGGCTGCGGGCGGCGGCGGCTCGGGCCTCGGGGCCCAGGCTCTGGCTGCAGGCTGCGGCGGCGGGGCCTAGGGTCCCGGCCGGCGTCCCCAGGCCGCGGCGGGGCCTAAGCCCGCGGTGGCCCCTCCATGCCCTCACGGCGCCAGGCGTCCCTCAGGGCGACCCCATCGCTGGCTCCGCTCGCGCTGGGCCTGGCGGGGACAAGACAGAGGAGCTCCCGTCGCCCCAGACCCGGGGGCTTCCGCGGGGATCCTAGTCGGCACAGGGCAAGGGTGCAAGACAGCGCGCCGGGAGGCGGCAGGGGCTGAGGGGGACAACACCGCGGCGGCGCGACGAATTTGTTGTCATCCGCGGGGCGCGCTCCTGGCTCTGAGGACGCTCCCGGCGCGTTCGCGAGACGCGGACTCTCAGCGCGCGGCCCGGCGCTGGCGGAAGTGACGCCACACTGGGGGCCGAAGGGGGCGGGGAGAAGGGCCCGGAAGGGAGCAGTTCCGGCTCCGAGGGGGCGGGGCGAAGGCGGGAAGGGGAGGGGGCGGCGCCGGGCGGCTGCAGACGCCTCGGGAAGGAGGAAGAGGAGGACGCGGGCTGCGCGTAGGTGAGCGGCCGCGGGGCTGACTGCGGGCGGGCTGCCACTGGGTGGGGTCGGGGCTTGGCCAGGGGCCCTCCGAGCGGGACGCGGCGCAGCGGGCCACGCCGTCAGGGTCCACAGCAGATGGGGCTCTGTCTCCCGGTTGAGATGGGTCTGGGGGCGGGTCCGGCCTGGGCCCTGCGGGTCAGACCTTAGACCTGGATCCCGGAAACGGGCGCTCGGAGCGCCGCGGGCACCATGGGGAGGGCTGCAGCCGCTCTGGAGCACCCCCGCCCGCCCCCCGACCCGAGTATTGACCGGTGCCCATTGTCAGCAAGTTATTCGTCCCCCGCCTCCTTCAAGTATTGTCTCCAAAGCTTCGTTTCGTTACTGTTTGTCTAGAGGCTTTCAGTTTACAGAGCGCTTTCTTCCTTCTGGGTGTGCTGCACCAAGACCAGGAAACTTGAGTTTTCGAGGTGTTTGTGGGCAGAACTGCTTTCTCTGATCAATGTCAAAGCCTTCCGACCCCTGAGAAACCTGGGCGAAGTATTTGTGCTGTTCTGGGCATCTGCGCAATCGTAGTTATGTCTTTTTGGAGACAACTCCTGCAGGGGCGGAGCTGGCTCGTAACTTAGTTAACCCGGAGAGACCGGCGTGCTAATGTTCAGTGACCTGGAAGTCTTATGTCCTGGGTTAGAATCCTGACGCTGGCATTTATTAGCCGAGCCACCTTGAACCGGCCCCTGCCCTCTCTGAGTCTTTGCCAAGTGTGAGCGTATCAATATCTTGTCTCTGAGGATTATTACGAAGCTTAAAGGATAAGAGTAGGGAGCGAACCTAGAGTCCTGATACATAGAGTTTAATTTGATAGTAAGTTAAGACGACCTTTTTAAGGAGATTTTATTAATATGTTGATAACTTTCATCAATGCCTTAGAAATGCTAACACAGCGCAGAAATGTTGACAGATAGAGAAAGCTCTGGTTCCCCTTTCCACAACCACTTTTTCATTTTAGAACCACTGTGCTCTCCAGTGTATGTAGTTGCTTGGATTGTTGGTGCCCCTCATTCTTTGTAGACTTGTCCTGGGCATTCTGGGTAACTTCAGTTCCCTTGCTCTTCATTCATTCAAAAATATTTGTTAAGGATCCATTAAATAAAGGTTTTTGCAGCTAGTGATGTGAAAACGTAAAGAATCAGGTAGAACCTTCAAGGAGCTTATATTCTAGTGTGATAAGTCTATTCCTTTATTCAATAAATATTTATTGATTGCCTGCATGTATCAGGGGCTGTTCTAGGTGTGGGGATACAGCAGTGAACAGAAGAAGTCCCTGCCCTCATGGAGCTTATATTTTATTGAAGGGAGGGAAAACAAACAATAATCCAATAAATCATATACCTTGTGGTGTTAGATGCCATAGGAAAAAATAAAGCAATATAAAGGGACAGGAGAGGGGAGAGATTTGCCACTTTCATATAGAGGGGTAAGGAAAGATCTCTCTTCTTTAATAAGGTGACATTTTAGTGAGACTTGGAGAAAGGTGGGGAGCAAGGCACATGAATACCTGGAAGAATTGTGTTCCAGGCAGGGGAACAGCAAGTGCAAAGCTTTGCATGCTTGGTGAGTTCAAGGAACATCAGGAGGGAGTAAAGGAAAGAGGCGTATAATTAGGGGCTAAGGGGGTTGTCAAGTCATATAGGGCCTGTAGGCCATTATGAGGACTTTAGCCTTTACCTAGGGTGAATGAGCTTGAGGAGAGAAGTGACAAAATCTGCCCTAAGTCATTTCGCAGGGTATTACAAAAGGCCTTGGGAGGTTTGAACTGGACTTTTGGTAAATGAGGACAATCAATTTCCTGCAAATCTAACTGTTAAATAAGTGATTTCCTTTGGAATATAGAATGACATTCAGGCTGTCCATGGAATGCTTGAGATTTCAAATATCAGAAAGGGAAAATAAAAATTGGAACATTTTATAACAAACATTCAAAGTGTTAAGTGTGTTGCCTCGTATGTTTTATGCTTTCTAGGAGAAATTCAGCATATATGTTAAGTTTTAGGACCTGTCATCATTATTTCTTTAGCTTAAATAGGGTACAAACTCGTCCTAAACCACAGTACTATTTTTGTGTTTTATCAAAGACAGAGTATTATCACAAAATGTTAACACCTAGCCTTAATTAAGTGAGGAAGATGAAGATAATTTCCAATCAAACACTGTCAGCTTTTTAAGAATTTTATAAAAGGATTTGAAGTGACAGGTTACACGCTACATACTAGAGGCTGAATGGGTCATCCTTCAAAGAAACCCATGTTAACATGTGAAATAGAAGCCAATGAGATGTTGTTGGCCTTTTTTTAAGACTTGCACCTGAGGCAACAGGAATATGAAGTTAGGGCTCCCGGGGGCACACAGCTCTCAGAGTGAGAGGGCAGCAGCCGCAGCCACCTTACATAATGTAAAGACACCAAACTTTGAGTCAAACAGCTTGAGTTTCAGGGTCAGCTCTTTTCTCCCTTAAAGATATTTTTAAACACTTTATTTTTAGTGAATAATAATTAACAGATAATATTTCTTGAGTTTACCATGTGCCCAGCACCATGCTAAGCCATACTGATCACTCCTTGTTCATGTTGAGAGGAATTTCCAGACCGTGGGGTATGATACAAATAAAGTAACTGATTAAGATACTGCTTTCTAGCCCTCAGTGACTGTTGTAATGTCAACTGAAAAGTCAAACTTTCTTTTGAAGTGAAAATTTTGAAATCTGTGTACTGCTTTTGAAATCTTTCTGGCTCTGTTCTTTTGTCAGGCTGTATGTATGGCCATCCTCCTACACCCATTCTTTTGTCATCAAGGCCAAAGCTGACCTCTGCAGTCTTTCCCAGCTCTTTGATGCTGTAAATTTGTGATGGCACAAAACAGAGTCTAAGAAATTAAGAAGTAGAGAATAAAGGACCTAGTAATCAATATTTTGATAACCAGTTTCATGAATCCCCCCAAAAACACTAACACAGCCCAAAAATTCTACCAACAGAATAAGAGCTGGTTCCTAAATTATATATGTATAATGTTATAAGGAGTCATTTTTGGAAACTTCATAGGAGGTGATACAACTTACCGGAGTAACTAACAGCAGCTGTAAGGTGTTCCAGTTTTTGAAGGTGCTGGCTACAGAACATTGCTCAGAGCCTGGTAGAGAGCCAATTTAGAGTTTAAATGGAAAGCAAAGAGGTTTTCTATCTCTTTAGATATTGATTTGTTTTATGTTGGTTAGAATGTACTTTATATTAAATATAGTTCCAAATCCTCCAGATATATCCTAGAAAATTATAGAGAAATGAAAAACTAATTCCTGGACTTTTTTTTACGCTTTCAATCTTTGAGAGTCTTTTCTTAGAATCTCATTTACAATTTCTGGTTTTGAAGGAAAAGTTTACAGGGTTATAGTGTTGCTGCTCATTTACAGTTTAAAAGACTTCTCAAATTAGCACTATATAGTTCTTCATACTCAGCTCCCTCCTTAAGCAACAAAAGCACAATACAATTCTCTTGGCTTGATCTGTTATTACTAGGTTATGTGTATGTGTGTCTGTCTTTGGACGTGGGGTCCAGAGTAATTTTATGAATGGGTATACAAATGGAAAAATAAGTCATTTTTATTTACATTACAAATACTTTATATTTGTAATACTACAAATGATTCTGATTTGAAATTTTTTATTTCAAAAGTCTTAGAGCTATTGAAAACAGATTAAATGTTGTGTTACAGAAAATAAAGAATAAACTAGCTTTAGCTTTGCTAAATTCTAAATGTTGCTAATTATAATTAATTAACGTTACTCATCTTTACTTTCAAAACAGTTGTTTGAAATGCAGATAAATCCAAACTTCTCATTTCAGTTGAAAGTGAAGCTACCGGTTACTTTAACTATCTTAATAGCCTGGCTTCTCTAAGGAGAAAATGTTTCTGCTTCCTACACCTTGTACTTTCCAACATATCACGTTTTTTTAAACTTTTTTGTCTTATTGCAAATATAATACATTTTCTTTTTGCCATAAAAAATTTAGAATATAAAAAATTAAAAAGTTGGGGCTGGCCTGGTGGCGCAGCCATTAAGTTCGCACGTTCTGCTTCAGTGGCCCAGGGTTCGCCGGTGCGCATCCCGGGTGCAGACATGGCACCACTTGTCAAGCCATGCTGTGGTAGGCATCCCACATATAAAGTAGAGGAAGATGGGCACAGATATTAGCTCAGGGCCAGCCTTCCTCAGCAAAAAGAGGAGGATTGGCAGAAGATGTTAGCTCAGGGCTAATCTTCCTCAAAAAAAATAAATAAATAAAAAGTAGAGAATAAAGGACTTAGTAATCAATATCTTGATAACCAGTTTCATGAATCCTCCAAAAATGCTAACACAGCCCAGAAATCATGCCAGTGGATGGATTCAGAGCTATCAATAATCACCTTGACTTTTAACAAAGAACAATATAACTGAAGTGAGAAGAGCTATAAAAACTTAGAGAAGATCTCAGTACTAACTTTCTGCCAGTTCCCACCTCTACCTGTTAACTTTATACCCCCAACCCAAGGCCTGGAATTTCCAGCTTTTTGAGTTAATTTCTTGGGTTAGAGCAGTATTTCTCTTACTTTCCACTCAAATAGGCAAAGGAAACCCTAAGCGTGTGGGGGCATAACCTAAAGAGGACATGGCTTGAGACTTCCATTTGCTTTAAAATTCTAGGCAATTTTGCATCATACTCCATAATATTGTTACTATAACAGTGATGTGTATTTTCCGGGATGTCTAATATGTTTATCCTTGTGGCTTTGTATGCCTCTTGTCACAGGGCTGAATACTGCATGGCTTGAGAAGCAGAGAGTTAGAATTTTTTCTTTGGTTTATTCTGTCAGAAAATATTCAGTGAAGACTCGCTTTATGCCAGACGCTGTGCTGGTGATAGAGACATCACAGGCCCCCATTTGCAATGAGGTATAAGTACAGCGGTACCAATGCAGAGGTTCTACTAAGGAAGGAGGATAGTGATTAACTGTCTTGAGATCAGGTACAGAATCCTGAAATAGATGTGTCTGTGCTGAATTTTGAAGGATTAAAAGTCTGAAAGTAGTGTCAACGTACAATTTTCTTAAAGTTAGAAACATGGGTCTTACACAAACATATAGTAGGCATGTGTCAAAAATGTATGTAACTCATTAGTGAAGGAAACAGCAAGACGGTAAAGTTGATTCAAAGTAGTATAAGAGAGACCAAAATCAATGAAAGGAAAACTAGTGTAATAAAATGGCAAAGTTAGCTCAAAACTGGCTAATGGGATTTCCACTTCTGGCTAAGATAGAGTAACAGGGACCAGATTACCCTTCTACCTGAAACAGCAAAAAGTGGGCAAAAATATATAAAACAATGGTTTTTAAGACTTTGGACATTAGGCAGTGGAAGACAGTGATCCCCGAGTGGCAAGATAGAAATGATGTAAGCCTGTTGCCCCGTTTATTGCCTGAAGAGAATTTCCAGGAGTGGCACTAGGAGGAGAACCCAGGTGGAACCCAGCAGTCTCCCTGAATTGAGGATATGAAGCTAGGAGAGGATAGGCAATTAGAACAGAGTACTGGGAAGTAGAGAGCTTCACACAGAGTGAGAGTTGTGGAGATAGCAGAGGGTCCCCTCCAGCCTGCAGCTGAGTACTGAGCAACACACAGGGATGAGGAAGTTGCCCAGAGCTGGAAAAAGAACAATCTAAAAGAATTAGAGGGAAAAAAAGAATTAGAGGAGTTTTCAGAGCTCAAACGATGAGGGATAGTTCCTGTTCCTATCACCCAGAATGGAAAACTTCATAATTCTAAAGACATTGGGTAGAGCGCTCAGAAAGGTTTTGCCTTTGTAGTGGGGCAAAATTAACCAGAGACTAAATGCAGCCTTGATACAGCCTTAAGTCTAAAGCAAGAGCCAAAAGAATCAAGCAGTTTCTAGATACCTACATCCCAGAACAATGCTCAATAATATTTAGAGGCATATGAAAATATCCAGCACCATATAAGGTAAAACTCACACTGGCATCCAATCAGAAATTACCAGGCATGGGAGCTGGCCCCATGGCCGAGTGGTTCAAGTTCCACGTGCTCTGCTTTGGTGGCCCAGGTCTGCAGCTTCAGATCCCAGGCATGGACCTACTCCAGTCCTCAGCCATGCTGTGGAGGTGTCCTACATACAAAATAGAGAAAAGATTGGCACAGATGTTAACTCAGGGTGAATCTTCCTCACCAAAAAAAAAAAAAAAAATTTACCAGGCATGCAAAGCAGCAGTATACAAGCTATAATGAGGAGAAAAATCTATCAATTGAAACTAATCCAGAAATAACACAATGAAATTAGTAGACAAGGACATTAAAACACATAACTATTTCATATGTTCAAAAACTAGAGAAAAGATTGAGCAGATTAAGTAGCGACATGGAAAATATGTTTAAAAAAAAAAAGACCCAAGTAGAAGAGATTAGAAACCACAGAAGAAAAGATGAGTGAAGCTGAAGACATAGCAATAGAAACTATTCAAAGTGAAACACAAAAAGAATGAAAAAATGAACAAAGCAGTGAGGAGTAGGACAACTTCACTTGGACTAATATTCATGAAATTCGAGTCCCCAACGAGAGGAGAGAGAGATAAATGAAGAAATAATGGCCAAAAATTTTTGAAATTGTTAAAAACTATAAACCCATAGATGCAAGAGGCCTAATGAGCCAAGCAAAAGAAACACAAAGAAAACTACACCAAGAGGAACAAAGATAACGATGCATCATATTTCTCATGGGAAATAACGCAAGCAAACAATAGTAGAGAAACATCTTTAAAGTCTCGAAAGATAAAACAACTGTCAAACTAGGATTCTGTACCCAGCCAAAATATCTTTCACAAAGGAAGATGAAAGGAAGGCTTGTTCAGATACACAAAAGCTGAAAGAATTCAACAACAGCAGACTTGTGCTACAGGAAATGTTAAAGGAAAGCCATCAGGCAGAAGGAAGATTATACAGATCATGATACAGATGTAGATAAAGACAAAGGAATGAGGACCACCAGAAATGTTAACTATATGTTAAATATAAAATATTTTTTATTATTACCTAAATCTCTTTGAAAAAATAATTGACTGTTTAAAGCAAAACTGACATGTATTATGAATTTTCTAACATATGTAGAAGTAAAATGTGTAACAAAAAGAGCACAAAGACTATATAGTATACTCCTGTAAGGTTCTACACATGAACTGGTGTAATAGCACTTTAAGGTAGACTGTGATACATTAAAGATGCATACTATAAACTCTTAAAGCAACCGCCAAAAACACACAACAAAGAGTTAAAATAATCCACCAAAGGATGTAAAATAGAATCCTAAAAAGTTGTTGGTCCAAAAGTAGGCAGAAAAATAAGGAAGAGAGAATAAAGTACAGATGGGACAAATAGAAAACAAACGGCAAGATCAATAGTAACCATGTTAATCAATCACAGTTACCATATTAAATGATCTAAACATCCCAATTAAAAGGTTGAGAGCGCCAAATTGGATAAAAAGGCAGGACCAAACTATATATCGCCCACAAGAAACTCACTTTAAATATAAAGACATTGCTATTCCCATTTGCAAGAGCTTAAAACAGCCTGCCAAAAATCAAAATGAAATTCCCCTGTCTGGGTATCAGCATCATGTCAGATTGGGCCATCCCTATCTATTAATCCCTTAATGTTTTTCTTGTATTAGCTTAGCTAGGCTAGTCTCCTTACAATTCCTGCCACACCCTCTGCAGACGCTTGCTTATGCATTGTTCCCCTTGAAGAATCCTTCACAACTCTCAAGTCCTTTCTGCTTATCCATAACTCCTCATCTGTGCTCATTCAAGACCAATTTTGACTGGCCTGTTCCATGAGTCAAGCCCCATCATAATTAACAATTATGTCAGCACTCTTCAAGAACAGTAAAGAATTTACTGTCTTTTCCCTTTATATTATAGATGAGAAAACCATGAGCCTAGTGAGGTTACATGGCCAGCCCAAGTTCATACAAGTTTAGTGGTAAGTTTGTAGTAGGACCAAAACATCATTATTTTCTGTAATTATCTGGCGCTTAGAATTAAGTACATTTCTTAGGTTATAATTATGATGTGTGTGTATGGCGTTAATATTTGTGTGCATATTTCATGTGCCTGTCTTATCTCCCAAATTAGGCTGTGAGCTACCAGTAGACATCTTTAATTAGTATTCTGATACTTAGAAAAATGCTGGATATATAGATGCACAGTGGATTATGATACTTGATTAATAAACTTAGAGTCTAAATTGACAAGATTGAAAAATATAAGAGGTAATTCGTTTGTTTTTACCATTTGAAACATTGATGGGTACTTCCCGTGCAGAGAGTAGCTAAGATTCAAACTAGATTTTCTAATGTGTATTTCCAAATCTTCCTACTCATATATACAATGTTTAATTCAGTACCTTTACATCTATCGATTTTTCAACCATAATATAAAATCAGTTGATTTTCATTATTCAAAAATATTCACAACATCTAGACCCGTGGTTTGTGATACAGTAGCCACTAGCAATTTACGTTTAAATGAGTGAAAATTAAGTGAAATTTGAAATGTGGTTCCTCAGTGACTCTAGCCAAACTTCAAGTGCTTAATAGCTACATGTGGCTACTACTTACTGTATTGGACAGCACAGATAAAGAACACTTCTGCCATCACAGAAAGTTCTCTTGGTCTAGAATTTCTTATATAATGATAAGTTATTTTGCCTACAGCTTATACGACTACAACAAGGGGAAACCAACAGGGCTGACCCCATGGCCGAGTGGTTAAGTTCACGCACTCCCCTTATGCAGGCCAGGGTTCGCCAATTCGGATCCTAGGCGTGGACCTACACATCACTCATCAAGCCGTGCTATGGCAGCATCCCACAGAAAAGAACTAGAACGACTTACAACTAGGATATACAACTATGTACTGGGGCTTTGGGGAGGAAAAAAAAGACAGGAAGATTGGCAACAGATGTTAGCTCAAGGCCAATCTTCCTCACCAAAAGTCATACCTTAAAAAAAAAAAAAAAAAAAGAAAGGGAAACCAAGGGTTTTTACAGGATTCACATTGATGAGTAAGCCGTTCTGGTAACCTGACCGCAGTTCTAATGTCTCAATGGTAATTCTAGTAGTTGTCCCTTCTCCGAAATGGGCATGTATTTCCTTGTCCTCAATGGTGCAGGCCTCCAGTTGGGTACACAAGATAATCCATTCAGAAGTAAGAAGAAAATAAGTTTATATTTCATGTTTTACCATCTCCTGTTTAAATTCATATTTATGTTTTTAATATTTTAATTGTAGAATATATGTAAATAAATATACATATAATGAGATGTCTGCTCAAGATATTTTTAGTTATTGGAATGCATCTACATCAACGATGTAGAAACGACTTGTCTAGTGCCCCATTGCTAAGGCCACCCAGTTGCTCCCTGCTCTGCTTTTCTAGCTCCTGTCATCACCAACTGACTTCGTGTTTTTTGGCTCTGTGTTCAAACTCCTCAAGAGAGGATCTGATTGGAGAGGCCAGTCACCATCCAGAATCAAGTATTTGGGCAGAGCTCTTGATTCAGGATGATTCATAAACCCTTTGCCAGCCTCAAGATGGTGCCTTTAATTGAAACAACCATCCCTGGCACATTTTGCTGTCATCATGGCATTGGAGTTACAGAGTACAAAGCATGAAACCTGTAATTAAGGAACCTTTCCAAGGAAGGCTGTGAAATTGACAAGTACTCTGGGCCTCCTTTTAAAAGAACCGTGCAAACTACCTGTTTCCATCGCCCATCTGATATGTTAAGTAAATTATGACTTCCAAAAAGGAAGAGCAGAGATTGAAGTCTCCTTGACCACCCTCATACCCTTTTCCTGATGATAGGATGTGGATGGACACTGCAGCAGACAGAATAATGTCCCCCCAAAGATGTCTATATCCTAATCCCCAGAAACTGTAAATATGTTACCTTACACGACAAAGGGAACTTTGCAGGTTTGATTAAGGACCTTGATTGGGGAAATTATCCTGGATTGTCCGTTTGGGTCCAGTGTCATCAGCAGGGTCCTTATAAAAGAAGTGCACGTGTCAAGAGTCAGAAGAAGGAGATGTGCCCACAGAACCAGAGGTTGGAGTGGTGTGCTTGGAAGGTGGAGGAAGGGACCATGAGCCGGGGAAGGCAGGTGGCCTCTAGAAGCTAGAAAAGGCAAGGAAACAAATTCTCCCCTGAAACCTCCAGAAGGAATGCAGCCCTGCTGACATCGTCATTTTAGATTTCTCACCTCTAGAATTGGAAGAAAGTAATTTGTGTTGTTTTAAGCCACTAAATTTGTGGTAATTTGTTACAGCAGCAGTAGGAAACTAATACACATATTAATATTCAAATTCTACAAAGCTTTTGTTAGACACTTTCTATATGACAGGCACAAAAATATCAGGGTTCCTTTTGTGTGTGTGTGAGGAAGATCAGCCCTGAGCTAACATCTGTTGCCAATCTTCCTCTTTTTGCGTGAGGAAGATTGTTGCTGAGCTAACATCTGTGCCAGTCTTCCTCTATTTTATGTGAGATGCCACCACAGCATGGCTTGACAAGCGGTGCTAGGTCCATGCCTGGGATCCAAACCTGTGAACTCCGGGCCGCCAAACCAGAGCACATGAACTTAACCACTACGCCACCAGGCTGCCCCCAGGGTTCCATTTTTTAAACCTCTTCTATAAAGCTATTGAAGAGCTAGATTAATCACTGCTTTTCATTTTGGCTAGCTCCTCAATCAGGATGCTAGCTTAAAATGTTAACTTGTGTAGTGATTCAATAATAAAATCTGTCATTTTCATTTGTGTGTATCATCAAAAGTTCTGAATGTGTCTGCTATGTTATGTGTCATCCAAAGACATTTCAGAAAAAAATCTTCTAACAGTTCACAGTTTTAGGAAAGGTGTCTTCCTCTTTTTTGCCCCTTGGTGCTAATTATTACACAACAATTTGATGACGTACTTTACTGACCTGTGAGGATTTCTTCCATTCTAGTATTAGATGTTTCATCTTTCTCCACCATTAAGGTCATAATTGCAATGAATTAGACTCTTGCTTTACATCAGACTTGCTCAGGTAGACATCTTTTTTCATGTAATGATTATTATTTCTGACATGCATAATTGAGGTACTTGATTACTTGAGGAAAATAAAGATGTTTGGTATTCATGATAGTAAGAAATTTACAGTAGACACATTTCAAAATCTTCAAAACTGACCATAAAAAAACAGAATGGGCTCACTTCTCATACATAAAACCAAGTATAATATTAAGGAGTATAATGATTATTTTTAGAATAAAGAAGAAACTTTTAGAAAATCAAATATTTTCCCTTTCATAGATTGTTAAGTCAATATTAGATTTCAGTTATATGACAAATTGCTCCAGCAATAATTGGTAAATTTATCATTAACTTGTATTATTAGTAGTGAGTGACTAATTCTGTAAGGTGCTGTGGGAGACAAGATAAAGGACCCTTAAAATATATCATTAGTTGAAATAGCATTGGAGGAATATATTTGCACATTTGCTATGTAATTTTTTGAAATAGCTTTACATAGTTCATCATAAATTGCCTTTGGCAAGGAGTTTTGACTTTTACTATGTGCAAATGACATACAGCTGTAGGAACTCTAGCTCCTTAAGATTTTTGCTGTTAATTTAGAGCAGTGGCTATACAGTAGAACCACCCAGAAGCTCTGAAAAAGTACCCAGGAGAATCTCCCAGAGATCTCATTCAGTTTCTCTGAGGGCTCAGTGGCCAAGGTTGAGAATCACTAACTTAGAGGATTTTGAGCTTCACACAAATAGGGCACAAGTTAGTAATTTTAGAAAAATGGATGGAATTTGTAAGGTAAGCGACAAATGGTGTGAATAAATGTTCATAACAAGTTGAGTCCTGCTACATTCTAGATAGAGGATGCTTAGTCCATATCAGAGAAATGAAATCTTAACTTACTTTTAAAGCCTGCAGGTAAAGAGAAAGCGTAATATCTTGTTCTGAAAAGCCCTTTTTACATTCCAAAGCAGTCTCACATTTATTAACTTTTCTTATGCATATATTTCTAATTTTAACAATATTCACTGCTACCCCAGTCACGGAAAAGAAGCTAGAACTGCATAGCAGCCTGGCAGTAATACTGGATCAAATTAGCACAAGAAATAATATTTTTTAAATTATGATGTTTGGGACAGTTCAAAAAAGTGGTGACTAGATAAGTTATTCAATAAATGGTGTTGGGACAGTAGGCTATCCATTTGGAAAATAAAGCTATACAGAATAAATTCCAGATGGACCAAAGAGTTAAATGTAGATGTAGAGAATGAGAATTCAGAAGACAATCGAGAGGATTTGAAAAATGTAACCATGAGGTAAGGAAGGCCTTCTTAAGAAAACCCCAAATCCAGAAGTCGTAAAAAGGAACTCTTGAGAGGTAGTGTACTGTAGTAGGTAAAGGCTTGACCTCTGATTTCAGACGACCTGAGTTCATTTCCATTTCTATGTTTTACCGCTACATGATCTTGGAACTAAAAATATCCTGTAAATATCCGAAAGACTGTTTAATCAAGGAAATACTTTTTCAAACAATGAAACATCATTGTTTGCCTCTCAAATAGGCAAAGATTAAAAAAGGATTGGACAGAATGTGGTGAGAAAGTACAGTCCTCGTATTCCACTGGTGGGGTATGAGTTAGTACAGCCTTTTTTTGAAGAGTGAATCAGCAGTATCTGTTGAAAATTAACATGAGCAAATACTTTGACTCACCAATTCCAGTTTTAAATCTCTCTCCTGATTTTCTAATAATTTCTATTTATTCCAACTATTCTATTTCTAAATATTTCTAAAATAAATATACTTTTAAAAATAAGTAATGTAGTAGGATTTTACTGAGAAATTGTTTGAAATAGCTGAAAACTAATATTCTAAATTCTTATCAATATGGGAATTAACCTTTTGGGGAGCAGTGGAGAACAGAGATCCTTTTTTGAAAATCTATAGGTGTCTGTAATTTTGCTGTGAAAATCTACTGAAGACGGCTTTAGGCAGTATTTTCCCTAAAAGTTGTTAGCTAGTTAATGTTTTTTATTAAGCAGGGTTGTAAGGCATCGCTCCTTTTAATCAAACAATATTATTTGGAATGTCTTTCTATAAACAAGTTTTATATCTACTTTTTTGCAGAATGCAAACAGACTGTAATCCCATGGAGGTGAATGGTGTGTCCCAATCTGAAGAAAATGAGCTTAATGGTTTTGACGGAACTGATATAAAAGACATGAGGCTGGAAGCTGAGGCAGTTGTAAACGATGTTCTCTTTGCTGTTAACAACATGTTTGTCTCAAAAAACCTGCGCTGTGCAGATGATGTGGCCTACATCAATGTGGAAACAAGAGAAAGGAACAGATACTGCCTGGAGCTCACTGAAGCAGGGCTTAGGGTAAGTCACTGTTCTTTTTAGAGAAAAAAAGATTTATATCTTTACCACTTTATCAAAAAGGGATGGGGAAAGGGGGGAGGGAAAGGGTGTTAAATGAGAACTCAGCACTCAGTAGCTTCCAGGGTTTTTTTAAGGAAAACTTTTTTCCTAGGAATTTTTTATTAATAATAAAGTCTTTGGGTCAACATGGGGAAATTGATTTTATTTTTTTAATTTTTTGCTGAAGCAGATTCTCCCTGAGCTAACATCCGTTGCCAGTCTTCCCCTTTTTGCTTGAGGAAGATTGTCGCTAAGCTAACATCTGTGGCAGTCTTCCTCTATTTTGTATGTGGGATGCTACCACAACACAGCTTAATGAGCAGTGTGTAGGTCCACGCCGAGGATCTGAACCAGCAAACCCCAGGCCACCAAAGCAGAGCACTTGAATTTAACCACTACACCACCAGACTGGCCCTGAAAAGTTTTTGAAAAAGAAAAAACATTTGATTTTTGCACAGTGTCATTTTGATTTAATCACGTCCACCAAAATTATGTGTTCTCTGCATTGGATGAGTTGCAGTCGTTGTGTTGAGAGGATCTTTTTTCACCTCTTGTAAATGTCTTTTCTACTAAAACAAGATACTTGATTCCACTGTCCTCTAGCCATTAGATCAGAATTAAGTCACAGAAGAATACTCCACCTCCAAATTTCCAAGAGTGTCCTTTACTGCCTGTGAGCTTTTCTAGGCAGCGTGACCTCTCTGTACCCTTCAGACCAGAACCATGAGTTTAGAATAGTAGAAAGCACTGCTGATAGCAGCTTTTCTTTTAAAAGGAAAAAAAAACTTACTATTATGAAAATTTTTGACCTACTGAACAAAGGAGTAGACATTAGAAACTCCAAAATTTAGTTTTAACTTTACTAATTAGTTAATGTTCAGTCTTGATCAGAGATCTCTGAGTTTTCTCTTTCTATAGCTGCTAAGAGTAGTTCCCCAAAAGTTACACAGTATCATGAGGTAGAGGGCAAGATCTAAGCAAGTAAGAATGTTGTATAATATGATGTCAAACAAGTATGTGAACATCTCTTAATGTCGCTAGATTGAATTTCTTAAAAGTATAATGAATCGTGTGTTCTGTATATTCCTTGATAGACGATCACTTACCCTGAAGCAAAGTGCAAGGCCAGCATCTTCACTACCCTCTGTTCCTTCCCAACTCCCACGCAGATAGCTGCTTAGCGTTGGGAGTAGTACCTAAGTTAACTAACCTTCATGCTCTTCTTCCTGAATCCCTAAATTCATACTAAAAGCTTATAGTCTATAGAAGTGGATCTTAAATAGAAATAGGCAAATCGAAAGTAGAGATAAATGACCTCCAGGAAATTAATTCTGTCTTACATTGATTAGTTCTAAGGTCGCCCTGGTGAGGCTGGAAGGGTTCTGATCAGAGTCAGAATTCTTACATGTGAATTTTAGTGATCTTGGGTGAGTCAGTCACCCTCTCTGAGTCCCTGCTTCTTTATTATAACCTAGAGATTTAAAAAAACTAAAGGATTTAGGAGATGATTATATGACTAAAGTTTGCAGAAAAATCTAGATCAATTATAAAACCTGGCATGTAGGTATTCAAATATTTGTTTTTTCAGTCTGATTCAGTTCACATTTATTGAACAATTGTCCTGTGTCATGAATTGGAAATCAAACCGTGAATAAGACGTGATCCCTGGCCACCAGGAAGACGACATGCCGATAGGGCTAGAGAGGGGCACGTAGAACTGTGATAGACGGCAGGAAGTCCTGAGATAGAGCAGGGTTCTGCAGAGGTGTGATTCTTCTTCCTTAGGTGTCTGTGTCTGCCTTTCATGAAAAACAACAACGTTGGGGGCTGGCCCTGTGGCCTAGTGGTTAAGTTCCACGCACTCCGCTTTGGCGGCCCAGGTTTGGTTCCCAGGTGCGGATCTATACCATTCATCAAAGCGGCCATGCTGTGCCGGCGACCCACATACAAAATAGAGGGAGATTGGCACAGATGTTAGCTCAGGGCAAATCTTCCTCAGCAAAAAACACACACACGACAACAACAACGCCACTTCTATTTCTAACATAAACTTGCATCTTCTAGGGCTTGAACAGATGTCATAAAAATTTAGGGTTTATGCAGGAAATTCACAAGCTTTAGTCAGGTCAACAAAAACTAAATTGATTTTGCCCTGCACTGTGTTGGTGAACCATGATATATCTTATAATCTTATTGTAGAAAAAAGCCTTAGCTTTGTTTAAAGAAAGAAAAAAAACACAGAGTAACTTTCCCTTTTCTCTCAGAGCTGAGCGTTCATTTCCCTGTTGGGTAAGTAATGTATTGGTAATGTGGAAGTGACCTTTCAATTAGAAAGCAGGATTAAAACTATAAACAATTCTTAGAATTCTATATAAAAAGAGTCCAAACCAAATAAATAACAATCAAAATATGGACTAAGCATATATTATGCATTATAGTGCCTTTATATGGTAGACCCGCAATGTATGTGGAATGAAATAGAAGCATGTTTTAGACTATGAATTTGAAATACTGTTTTTGTGTAACTTTTTAAATTTGGGGGAAAAAATTATAAAGAGAGCATTTTGCTGGTGGTGTTCCTATGTTATAAATTGCTTATATTTTAAAGGTTGTATTAAAAATAGGCATATTCCAACTATTGATTGAGGAATGGTGTCATTAGAGACTGACCCATTTAAACACTTGGTTTTTGCTTTCTGTGCCAAGATGGAACGTACTTATGTCCTTCACGGTTGCCTTTCTCTTGTAGGTGGTAGGTTATGCCTTTGACCAGGTGGATGATCACTTACAGACTCCTTACCATGAAACAGTCTACTCCTTGTTGGATACGCTCAGCCCTGCCTACCGAGACGCATTTGGAAACGCACTTCTTCAAAGACTGGAAGCTTTGAAAACGGATGGACAGTCATGACTAAGCTTTTCCTTTTAGAGGGGGCTGTGCTGGTGCAAAATGTTGACATAAAGCTTGAAATTCTTGCATATGGTCATAGTAGAAAATGCATCTTTGGTTTTATGTCTTTATCATTTCTTGCTTCAAATTTAGGCTTTTGACTCAGAACATGATTCACTAACGAACTGTCTTTTTTAGTTTCTGATTCATTAAGGAAATCCTGAGGCTATTGCTGTGACACCATCATTAAGACATTCCGATATCTTCATGTAGTGTCTCTGCATTTGAAAACCTAATCAGTATTTCATTCTGTTATTACGGGACTTTGATGCTGCCAGCACTCCCTTTTACATGGGAAATTCTAGGTTTGCACAGTAATATAGCAATTAAAATGACCTAGTTTCAAACTTTGATTCAGCTTGCTAAATCAGGGGTTTACTACTAGCTTGGACTGACTTTGGAGTAATTATTTTGCTACTAGCCTTATTGGAAACAAACTATCGACTAGTTTCCCCTGCACAAATTTTGAAATTCAGTGCTTCACTTACTCTATTTATATTACTAATATGGACTAATAAAGATGAATAATTATGTATTACTTAGCTAGTATTAAATGAGAAACAGGTACTGAAATAGTTCTGTATTCCTCGTTTGCAACAGCCAGCCAACTAAGAGGACAAACCTTTAGGAAATGAATGTAATAATTACTTGTTTCCAAGATATTTAAGCACATAAGCAAATACAGGAACAGGCTCCATTCTTTTTCTTAGTAAATAGCATCGTCAATGTGTGTGATTTAAAAGAAAGAAGATTCTGATTTCCTGAAAAACAATATTTTGGCCTGTGTTGATTCTTCTTATGAATGTTTGTTTACATAATGTACAGAAAGTATTTTTGCTTCAACGTTTACTTTCTATAATGTAGTGCTTTGGTATTCCCACAGCGCCCCTCCTTCCCCGACAGATGTACAGTGCTCTGTCTCAATGCTAAATCTTCAACGGAACGTGAGTGCATTGTATGGGTTTGAAACCAAAGGATGAATGAAACATTCAGAGACTTAATATTTGAAAAAAAGAAACTCTGTATTTTATATTTTATTACAGGTACTAATATTTATAAAAATAAACTGTACCATTGCTGCTACATGTTTTCAAGTACATGTTGAATAATAAAGATTGGGGAGTTGTTTTTTTAAAAGTAGTCTAAAGCGGCAGCTGTAGAAATGTTGATCGAAAATTCTGCCTCTGGTCACACCTTCATAATTTGTCATTTGCAGACTTTTTAAAGTCATTATTAAATAATAGGTACTTTTAGCCTCTGAAGATCACGTGGACCAGAGCAAATTCAAGTTCCGTTCGGGTCGTTACTCATTGTCAGACTTCACTGGAATGCTTTAATTACGTTTGGTAAATGCATGTTCATTCTCAGCTTTATTTTCAGATGCCTAACTGTTTGGGCACTGAAGTCTAACTTCAGGTTGAACTTTCTCGTGCTTAATCTCAGGCTAAATGTAAAGGATATTTGTAAAGTTTGAATAAAGTTCTGTTTACTCATTTTGAGTTAAGTATGAAGAAAAGTGACTGTATGTTTAAAAATTGAAATTGTTCATTTTGTGATAAATGATTGATTCCAAGAGCTTCTGTTTCCATTTTTGAATTCCATATTGTTAGATTTTGATGTGAAATGATTTGCTCTTTTTATTACCATGAAAGAGGAACAGAGAGAGAAAACATTAATAAAACTACACAGATTATAAAACCTCCACTAGGGGCCAGCCCCGTGGCCGAGTGGTTAAGTTCTCTTGCTCCACTTCAGCGGCCCAGGGTTTTGCCAGTTCGAATCCTGGGCACGGACATGGCAGCACTCTCAAGCCATGCTGAGGCAGTGTCCCACATGCCACAACTAGAAGGACCCACAACTAAAAATACACAACTATGTACCAGGGGGCTTTGGGAGAAAAAGGAAAAATAAAATCTTAAAAAAAAAATAAAACCTCCACTAGATAAGAAAACCTTCATTTTATCTAGATTGTTTAAAGAATTTAACCAGATAAATTGTTTTGATTTCACTTCCAAAAGAAAAGAGAAACTCTAAATAATTAATTCTTACAAATCAATGAGAAAAAAATGAGAACAGTGGGTAAATAATATTATCAAACAACTCAGAAAAATATACAGATGTCCAGTAACCACTTGAAAGATATTCAACCTGACCAGTAATTCAAGGAAGGAAAATAAGTGTAGCTATGTTGAGCCATTTCACCTAATAATCTAATAATTTCTCTTAAATATAATGATGTCAATAAAGATTTAGTGAGGGGCACTCTTCCATTTTGCTGGAGGATACAGTATGGTGAAACCTTTCTGGAAAACCTTGGTAACAAAGCCTTTACAAAGCTTACAGCTTCTGTACCGGTAATATCCTAGCAGTCTAGCAGAGGGAAATCATTGAGCAGAAGATACACTACGAGGATGTTCATTTCTCTAATGGAAAATTGGAAAGGCTCTAAAAAGTGGTTAAGTTATGAAATCCTTTTGGTGGAAAAATATGCAGCCATTAAAAATTATGAAAAAAATGACAATAGGGAAAAATTGCTACATGAAAAAAAGGATATAAAACTATAATCTATTTTGAAAAATAATCATATGCAGTAGAAGGAAAAATGAAATAAAATATTCTACGATGGTAATAGTAGTCATCACTAGGTAGTAAGATAGGTAATTTTCATTCTCTTTATGCTTTTTCACATTTTCTACATTACCTTGTATGTGCTAATTGGAGGGGAAATGCAACCGATACGGGGTTTCAGGTAGTTGAAGAGCGTTTCTCTCTAGCGGAAGCACCAAGCTGTGCCGACTTGTGTCCGCTCCCAGGATCCTTGAAGAGACAGTATGATTATGAAGAAAAAGACTGCACACCTCATTTCCCATAATGACACTCTTCCCACCTTTGCTCCAGGTCCAGAATCAGTCTTAGACTTCCCACACAGCTAATCAGCAGCAGCTAATGGTGTACTGATCCCTAGCTTCCTCCATCACAACACTGCACTATTCTCTCTCCAGTGTTCAAAAACATAAAATGTGCTGTTTGATTGCTAAGGGGGAACAGAGTAGGAAAACACAGATTCTGATAATGTGCCGTGTTGACCTGAGAACTCTGCCTTCAACCCCTTTGTTTTGTGGATGACATAGCTGAGGCTTGGACAGACTGAGGGACTTGCTCAGCAGTCCGCCTGTGAGCAGCTGAGTTAGGCAGAACCCAGGTCTTCGGACTCCCCACTCTCCCCATACAGTACATGTCAATAAAACATCACCCAAACTTCGGTTATATGAAAGCTGATTTTGAAAGAGGAAAGCAATAACAGTAAAAGAAAGGTTAGGTGGTATAATAGAATTAATCAATAGAATCTCCCTTCCTACCTACCAATATGATAGATATAAAATTCTCTGGAAGCCATCCCCTTCTAACTATGGTGCTAGCTTATCTACTTGCTATCAATAGTGCAAACAAAAATAAAACAAAGGTGAGTTCGATTTTATAATAGGATGACCAGTTGAATAACTTTTCAAAGTACGTTGCTGCTTAACTGCCTATCAATACGGACAAACTAGGAGCCAGCCCGGTGGCGTAGTGGTTAAGTTTGCAAGCTCTGCTTCAGGCGGCTGGGGTTTGCAGATTTGGATCCTGGGTGCAGACCTACACACCACTCATAAAAGCCACACTGTGGTGGCGTCCCACATACAAAATAGACAAAGATTGGCACAGATGTTAGCTCAGGGCCAATCTTCCTCACCAAAAAGAGCCGGGGGGCGGGGGGGTTAAACAAAATCCGGAAATGAGGCATCTAGTGAATTCTAGAATATTTGATCTTACTAGTCATTTGAAAGAATGCTGAAGAATATTTATTCCATCAAGTTTTGCACTGGTCTTGCATGAGTATTTTCACATTTAAATCGACACTGTCTTGTTGATAATCTTAAAAAAGGAATGTTGCTATGAGCAAGCTGTTCCCAAATTGAGTTTGCAAAATTTCAAAGTGTTAATTATTTTATTAAAATGAAGTTTTAATGAGACATGGATGAAAACAAAAGGAGGGTGGGAACCAGAAAAATTGAAGGAAAAGGCTCCCCATTTGCAGAAGTATGCCTTAGCCTTGCAGCGAAAAAGAAACAATTTCACCTTTGAAGACCGCTTACTAAACTGCTTTCATACACATCTTACTTAATCCTAACAGCCCTGCGAGGCTGGCGGTTTCATCCTGTTTTACAGCCAATTTAACAGCTTGGGGAAGGTCACAAGATTGGTCCCAGGCTTCCACAAACGGCTGCAGAGCAGGAACTCAAAGCCAAAGCTCCTGAGTGCCCAGAAGCCCCCAAGCTGTCTGGAACTCCCGGGCCACCTCCATTTTTTGAAGCAATCAGTATTTTAAAAAATACGAAAAAACTGTTGCGTGTGTTAAGTGCCTATATAGTGTTTAAAGCACAAAAATATTTCAATAGAATCCGGCTATTCCAAGAAAATGGCAAGACGTATTGCCAGTCCAGCACGACCTTTGTGGTCCTGTGATAAGACAAGTTCAACATCATCTTTTAATTGTCGGTTTATCTCGCCAACCGCACGTATATCTCATTTGGAAAGGTCAAAATCTAAATTCCACCCTTTTGTGAATGTGGGTGACTGCCCGGCACGTGGCCTCTAGCCGCCCCCAGCCCACCCCACCCCCAGAGGTCTTTCTGGAACTGCTTCGAAAGGACCCCTAAGCCAGCTGAGCCCCGTGGACCAAGCGGCACCCGGCTGCACAGTGGGGACCACCCATGCCGTCGTTCGGTTGTCCTAGATCCGAAACTCCATGGCAACAGCTCTTCTTTACAGTGGGACCGTCTCCTGGTCAGACCATCCCACGGGGGACCGTTAACTAACTCCAACATTTCAGAAGAGGTGGGCTGCGGGCTTTATTTACCTTTTCATCAGATTCATCAATATTTTTAGTCCTCTCTGTCCACTGGACTCTGGAACGTGTTTCCAGAGTGTCTGAAAGAAAGAGATGTAAGGGAACAAGATCACACGTCCTCCTGTGGCAAGGATCCGAAAGAGGACGCCCGAGGACACGTAGCGTGCAGCAGGGCAGAGTGGGGCCCGGGCTGCACGCACGCGGCGCTGCCAGCAGCCCTCGCGCGGGACCCCCGTCCGGCCCCAGGCCCGCAGAGCCCGCCCAGCCCGGGAACCCGGCGGCCCCGCCCCCCGGACGCCCCGCCCAACGCCCTAGGCCCCGCCCCCAGAGAGCCTCCCGTCCCGGCGGGCCCCGGGCCCCGACCCCACCTCCTTGGCAACCAAAGCGACGCTTTCTCCTTAGCAACCAGCGCGGCTCCCACCATGGCGAACAAAGTTGCTGCCCCGACGGAGAAAGTTCCGCGGATCCAGAGGGTCTTTATAAACCTGCTGGACACATACAGCAGCGGAAACATCGGCAAGGTGAGCGGCGGCGGGTCAGAGCAGGACCCCAGCTCCCAGTCCCCCGCGCCCGGCCCCCGGAACCAGCGGGAGCCTGCGCCACTGGGCGGTGTCAGGGCCTCCCCTAAGGGAGCGTCCCTGGTCCTGCGCACGGCCTATGCTCCCTGGACCCCAGTCCGCACCCAGGGTACACAAGCGCCCCACCTGGAAGCCCAGGTGTTTGCAGATCGCCGGTGCAGCCCCCGCTCCTCTTCCGTTAATGAGGGGAAACTGAGGCTCAGAGGGAGACAGGGGCTTGCCAGAGATCACACAGCGAGTTGGGGACAGGACCTGGACCTGGACATAGAGCCCGGGTCTCTGGCCTCCTAACTAGGTTCTCCTTCCCCTCTGCCACCGCATCTGAAGCAGGCAACTGACAGATAAATCCAGCGGTTCTATCCCCCACCGAGCGTTTTTCCTTCATCCACCCCTTCAACATGCGGTCTCAGCGTCTATGTGCCCGGCAGTGTTTTGGGCCCTGACTCCCATTAAGCTTCCTCACCCTTCTCCATCTTTAGCCCTCGAAAATGAAGATATTCAAAAAGAGGACGCTGGGACCCTTCATCTTAAAATGCTCAGTAGTCAAAAGAAAGCCATAATTTTATCATTCCCCTGAGTAGGAGTCGCTGATCTTCATTCTGCCCCCTGGAGCTACGCAGAAGTCTAGCCTCACCCTGGGCATATTTCTGCGAGGCTATAATGATCACACTTTCGGACAACACAAGCTGCCTAAAATAGGATGAGGCTACAGTGCATACCGTCTGTATTGGTTTCCTAGGGCTGTGGTAACAAATTACCACCAACAACGGAATTTATTCTCTCCCTCTTCTAGAGGCCAGAGGTCCAAAATCAAGATGTTGGCAGGGTTGGTTCCTACCAGAGGCTGCAGGGGAGAATCTGTTCCATGCTTCTCTCCTAGCTTCTGGTGGTTGCTGGCAATTCTTAGCATCCCTTGGCTTATAGACTCACCACTCCAATCTCTGCCTCCATCTTCACAGAGTATTCTCCCCTGAGTGTCTCTGTGTCCAGACTTCCTTCTTCTTATAAGGACACTAGCCACTGGATTAGAGCCTGCCCCAATCCACTATGACCTCATTTTCGCTTGATGTGCAAAGACTCTGTTTCCAAATATGGTCACATTCACAGGTTCCAGGTGGGCAGGAATTTGGGGGCTGGGGGGAGCAGGAGAACACTATTCAACCCAGTACACCACCTAAAGTTGATCAGTCAAAAATATACGGGTTTAGATATATAATTTATATGTAAAAATAGTATATTTTATATATAGCATGTAATTAGATGTGATAAACAATATTTGTGATATTATATATGATATATATCTAGTAGAAGGGACTAAAGACACGTGATATATCTTCTCCATTACCAGAAAAGGGGGGAAAGAAGGGACAAGGACACACACAAAACAAACAATAAAAAGGTGGGTTTTTTTTTTTTTTTTGAAGAATGGAAACATTAAAAAGACAGGTGTATTATGAACTTATTTGTGTCTCAAAAAGTTTGATACAGGGGCTGGCCCCGTGGCCGAGTGGTTAAGTTCGCGCGCTCCACTGCAGGCGGCCCAGTGTTTCGTTAGTTCGAATCCTGGGCGCGGACATGGCACTGCTCATCAGACCACGCTGAGGCAGCGTCCCACATGCCACAACTAGAAGAACCCACAACGAAGAATACACAACTATGTACCGGGGGGCTTTGGGGAGAAAAAGGAAAAAATAAAATCTATTAAAAAAAAAAAAGTTTGATACAGATGTAGAGAAGATAGATGGATCAATCACACAGAAAATATCTATATGCAGAAAATGTCTCAAAGGATACCCAAGAAACTTAACTATTATCCCCTCTGGAGGATGGGGTTCATTCAGTCATGAACACCTACTAAATGGCAGGCACAGAGAACTACACAGTGAATAAGACCAAAACAGGTTTCTGCCCTCAAGGACCCTGCCTCTCCGGAAGGAGACAGACAATAAATAATTTTTAGAATAAACGAGATATTTCAATGTGTGATAAGTACGCTGAAGGAAAGAGAGCGTGGATGTTGACCGGTGGCTGGGAACAACTGCTTTAGAGTCGCATGAAGGGGCTCTCTTGAAAGGAGACATTTAGTCTGACATACACGCGATGAGGATGAAGCTGGAGGAACTGGTTCTCAGGAGGCACAGGAGAGGCCAAGGTTCTGAGGTGAGAGTCAGGTTGGTGTTTTCAGAGGTCAGAGGTGCAGGGAACCGGGGGCTCCAGGGCTGACTTCATTGGTGCAGCAGGCGCAGTGCCCGGGGCCCATGAGACTGGGGCCCACAAAAATGTTCTAATTTCTTTTGAAGTCAGAAAGAAGCAAATGAAATTTTAGAGTCAAAGATTGTGTGTCTTTATAGCAAGACAGTCATAAAATAGAATTTTTAATATTTTTTATGGTGGAAAATGCCCATGAAAGTCAGCGTGTGGCCCTGCTCAGCAACGATCAGTGCCTCGCACCTGGTCAACATTAACACTTTATCGATACTTGTTGCATTAATTAACGAAGCAGAGTCAAGCACAAAGGCCCAGACTGTGCGGGTCAGGAGTTGGGTTTATATGCTAAATCCAATGAAAGCCGCTGCAGTATTTGAAAAGCGAGGTGACATGAGTGACGTTAGGAAGGAGGGAGAGAAGAGAACTGAACTTTTTACTTTACCCCCGTTTGGTCTCTGATTATTTCTGACAACATACTATTTTTATACTAAAACGTTTTCTTTTGGTATCAGAGATCTTTCTCAAAAGTTTTTCAATAATGAATTTTCTAGTTATTCCTTCACTAACCAGGACCTCTCTTTCTCAAATTCCAAGTAATTGCTGTGATATGTACTAAGCCACATGGGAGTGGGAATTGAAGCTGTCAGGGTGGGGGGCGAATTTTCCTCCTACCCCTCTTGAGTTCTTCTGGCTGGACTAATAAAAAACCTCAAGACCAATCACTAGGAGAAAAACCAATTTAATATGTATGCATGGGAGGTCATAAAAATGACTCTCAGAAATGACCAAAGCAGGCAGCTTTTATACCTTTTTACATAAAGAAATAATAAATTTGTGAGGATTTAAAAGGACAAAGAAACTTAGGTTTGGGTGCTTAATTAGTAAGAAATTTAAGCAGAATTTGGGTTTGAGGTAGTAAATTAGTAAAAAAAAAAAAAAAGGAGCAAGATTTCTCTATACAGGCTTCTTGGCTCTGGTGATAAGGATGTTTCTCTATCCTGGTGTGAGGAGGGTATCTTTCACATGCGAGATTTATTTCCTGCTTTCAGGGGGAGCAGAGAGAGGAGGGTCAAAATGCCCTTTTTGCCTTGGCTGCTTCTCAAGCAACTTTTTTTTTCCTTTTTGAGGAAGATTAGCCCTGAGCTAACTGCTGCCAATCCTCCTCTTTTTGCTGAGGAAGACTGGCCCTGAGCTAACATCCATGCCCACCTTCCTCCACTTTATATGTGGGACGCCTACCACAGCATGGCATGCCAAGCAGTGCCATGTCCGCACCTGGGATCCGAACCAGTGAACCCCAGGCCACCGAAGTGGAACATGCGCACTTAACCGCTGCGCCACCGGGCTGGCCCCTCAAGCAACTTTAATACAAAATAATCAATATGCCATTGTGGCAGATTTGGGGGCGGTCTGACCTGGGGCCCAACAAATCATAAAAAAGAAATAGAAGCCACATTTCTTGTCTTCAGGCCTACAGCCCAGTTGGGCAATGCCACCTCAGCCCCTTCTTGCCCAGGCCCCTGGGAGGGAGTAGCGTGGTGGGGTGTGGCACGTGTGCAGCCTTGGGTATCAGAAGGTCCCTGCCCATGTGGTCTTGGGAAGTTATTTACTGCTGGGCACCAATTTCTTTGTCTGTGAAATGGGATAATAAAATTGAACACGTATGTTTGAGAGAGAAATGAAAACATAGATGACCTACTTGAGAGAAATATATTCCAATAAGAGAGTGAAACCGACAACCTTGCATCCTAACTTGGACTGTTTTTTATCAAAATAAATGAGGTGGGACTTTATGTTTGGTTGGTTTTGGTACATTTTTACTCCCCAAGGTGTGATAATGTCATGATTATTTTATGTTATTAAACACATTACGTTTAATATATAAATTAAGATAAATTATTTTTATTTCTGTATAAAAAGTATATATATATGAAACTCTTTAATACTGCGTGAACTACTCCCAAGGAAAACTTTCATAAAAAAAGAAACATAACTTTGCCAACTTCATTCTGTTTCATTATTCACTGAGGCAGCCACTGGCCACATATTTAAATGTGGCGAGCCCAAATGGAGACGTGCCGTAAGCATAGAAATGCACCTCGAATTCCACTGGTTTAGTATGAAAAAAATATATAAAATATCTCACTAATAATTTTTATGTTGATTACGTGTTAACTCGCTAATATTTTGGATATATTGGGTTAAATAAAACATTAATTAATTGCACCTGTTTCTTTTTCCTTCCGATCACGTGGCTACTAGCAAATTTAAACCATCTGAGCGGCCCACATTACGTTTCTGCATTTCTCTTAGAGAAGTGGCGGCTATAGCCGAGCTCTGCCTGTTGCCAGAGCAGGATCGTATCCTTGACAAGTTCTTTAAGCTCTCTGAGCCTGAGTTCCTCATCTATGACAAGGGGAATCATAACAGTACCCACTTCACCGTGTTGCTGTGGGGCTAAGATCCATTCAATGAGATCCCCGTGTGCAAGGCCTTTGCTCCGCACGTGGGCACCTCCAGCAAGCCTTCAACAAAGGTTCATCTCCAGAATCCTCATCCACCGACTGCCCTCCCTCTAAGTTGTTCTTAGTAGTGGGGAAATTTCTGTTTTCTTGCAGTTTCTATCGAACTGTGTAGTCGGGGCTTCACTTGAAGAAATTACAGAAGAAGAGGAAGAGGAAGATGAAAGCAAGTCAGCCATGCAGGAACCCTCCTCAGTCAAACTGAAGGAAGGCACGTTCCAGATCGTGGGCACGCTCTCCAAGCCCGAAAACCCGCGGCCCACCTTCGCGGTGGAGACGTACAGTGTAAGTACGGGGGGCTTGCTAGGAGTAGACAGACAAACGGAAGACTCGCCTTCCGCTCTAACGTCTTACAGTGTGTCGTTACTCTGCTTCTCCTCCCCTCTCTTCTGTGGGGGGGCGGGGGGAGGGGATGACGAGGGACGGGGATGCAGGGGAGCGGGGAGGCGGGGACTGGGGTGGGGTGCGGACGGGGAGAGGACCTTCTCCTCTGATGGAGGAGACCGCTGTGGTCTCCACTTTACGTGTTTGCCTGAAGGACAGAATTTACATGCAATGTTCTTGGAAAGGACACATCTCCTTTGAACTTTCAGACTCATAGAATTCTCTATACTGTGTTTAAAATATATTCTGCCCTGCATCACCCTAGCACCACTCTGGGCCACGGTGGGTGGCATCCGTGAAGGAGACATCTCCTTTGGTAATAGGTCACTCAGGAATAACGTATCATCACAGGCTGTCTTATTGAGAAGCGCTGCTCCCTCCATGTGACAAATTCTACACAGTCCTTGTCCTGAGACCTTTAAATAGCTCCAAGAGGGGCCTCCCTCCCAGGCCAACCCCTCCCATCGCCCTGCCTGCTACTCTCCAGGCCCCACGAAACAGCTTTGCACATACAGGAATAGCCTTTCCTCTTCCCTCTCCCAGCCAGCCCTATTCATCCTTCAAGATTTAACTCAGGATGTCACGTCTTCCAGGAAGCCCTCCGTGATTCCCACTTCCCCACTCCTAGTTTGGATTCTGAGCTCTTTTCTTGTGCTCCCATAGCATCCTTTACCTTCCTAGATCATAACTCTTTTCACAGCCATTGTTATCGTCTGTCTATTGCGGGTCCCTCCGACCGTAACTGATCAGCTCCTTGAGAGCAGGGATCACGCCTCATTTATTCCCCTTCTATCCCTGCATCTTCCACACTTAGCACAGCAACTGGCAGAAAGTGGCCCTCAATAAACATTTGTGAAATGAATGAATGCGTCCCCTCCCGCCACCTTCGGGAACTTTCTTCACCACTTACCCTCTTTCACACCCTTCTGGATCTTCATTCGACACTGGCTTCTTTCTTTCCACCTATGCATACGCTCAAATCTTTCCCACTGTAAAAACACTTAATTTGGCCACTCTGCCAGCTGCCAGCCTCTGTCTCTCCCCCTGGCTCCTGCTACCACTGAACTTCAGAGAGGGACCAGCCACATTTGTAGGCCTCACTCCTGCGCTCCCAGGCCCTATTCTGTCCGGTGCTGGCAGGCTCTGTCCCCACCACTTCACAGGCAAGACCCTGACCAATGACACCAGTGAGCTCCTAATTCCCAAGGGCCTGTCCTACCCGGCTTCCCAGGAGAAACTCTCCTTCCTCCTTCTGCAGCCATTGCCCCTGATCTCCCCGATGCGTCCATGCGCTCCTTCCCGGATTCTTGCACCAGCTCCTTTTTTTCCCCAGAGCTCCCTCCTTCCTCGTAATAGTTGTTCTTCCTAAATCTTATCCAGTCCTCTGGCTTCAGCTCCCGCATACAAGCCAGTGCCTTTCAAATCTGTCTTCAGCTCTGTGGATTCACAAACCCAACAGCCTCCTGGCCCACCCACCCGGATGTCCTGCAGGCATCTCTAAATCAACATCCCCCCAATTAAGTTTATTACAGTACTCTACAAAACCACTCTGCCCTTTGTACTCCTGATTTTTATTAAGGACCTTGCTGACTATATCAATTGGGGCCGTTTGATGCTGCAAGTAAAAGAAAAAAAAAAAGCAATGGAAACTGGTTTAATAAAGAAATTCATCAGCTTATATGGCTGGTGGTCTCAAGGGAGAGCCACCTTCAGGGCTGGCATGATCCAGGGGCAGCAGCTCCTTTTCCTGCCCCTTCCTGGGCTCTGCCTTCCTCTGAGGGTGACTTGATCCTCAGGCCAGCAGCACAGTCCAGGGCCTTACATTCATACAGAGCAACACCCCGATGAAGAGACTTTCAGAACATCTCAGAGAAAGGAGGATAAACATTCCAGCAGCCTCCTGCAAACATCTTGAATCTCACTGTCTTAAATTGAGCCACATGCCCATTCCTGAACCAAGCACTTGCCCTTAGATCAATAAGGCCCATCCCTTATGCTAGAGGATGGAGTTAATTTCCCAGAGGCTGAGAAGGGGAGTGTCTGAACAAAATTAGGGTTCTGTTGGACAAGAGGAAGAGGAAATGGACGTTTGTAGACACTCAGCAGTGTCCTTTATACCATTCGTCACGTGCTCACCCCACCAGGGCTGAAAGCTCTTGGCTCCCCGCTGCCTCGCATACTCTCTTGGTCAAAGGATGCTCAACCTGGGGCTGGCCCCATGGCCGAGTGGTTGGGTTCGTGCGCTCCGCTGCAGGCGGCCCAGTGTTTCGTTGGTTCGAATCCTGGGCGCGGACATGGCACTGCTCATCAAACCACGCTGAGGCGGCATCCCACATGCCACAACTAGAAGGACCCACAACGAAGAATATACAACTATGTACTGGGGGGCTTTGGGGAGAAAAAGGAAAAAAATAAAAACAAAATCTTTAAAAAAAAAAAAAAAGGATGCTCAACCTGCCTCTCTAATCGCTAAGCAGAGCCTCCTTCTGTTCTCGCCGCCATGTGCATTGGTTCAGATCTCCAGCTTCTCTCGTTATTTGTACCTGAATTTGCATCACTGAGTGTGCACTCAGCACCCTAAAGATCCGCAGATGAACACGGAGCTCGCAGCCCAGCAGGGACTCTGCGACTCACGCTAGTCGCTCCAGGACAGCACGGTAAACATGACGACAGCATGTGCACACAGCACTCTGAAAGGGCGGGGCGTGAGTTTTCAGTCTTATCTGGAGAGCCAGGCGGTGGAGCTTCAAGCGCCTCCCTACCACACCCGTCAAGGCCCCCTCTGCAGCTCTGGTCTGGAGATCCCAGAGCCCCCATCAGCACAGTCCTGCAGATGGCCCTCCTTTGGGAGGCTGGGTCTGCTGGAGACGTTGGGATGGAGGCTAGCACCCAAGGCTGAGCAGAGCTTGCCAAGCAGATAAGGGAGCAAGGAAATGCCACACGAGGTGGGGGACACTAGGAAACCATACAGTGTGCTTTGGAACAGAAAGAAACGGCATAGCTAGAGCGTGGGTTCTGGGGAGCCAAGAGGAAGAAGCGAGGGTGGCATGAAAGGGGAGAGAGAATGAAGGATGGAAGACATCAGGCTGGTCCAGGTTGTGAAATGTGCCTCTGCCCAGCTCAGCCAACTGCCTGCCGCTCCCTGAGCATCCCAGGCTCTGCTGAGTAAGCTCATATTCACTCTTCTAACCTAGCTCAAATGTCAACTCCTATGAGCCACAAGCACATATTCCTCCTGGTCCACTGAACCTGAAATCTACCTCCATGGTAGCTATTTCCAAATTGGGGGCTGCCATGTAAGGCCATACAGGGTGCACACTGCACAACAGTGCCTGGCTAATGAGGACTGAAAAGTGACCTGTTCTACGGGCTGTACGGTGCCCCAGAGTGTGTTCCTTCTTACAATTTTTCCCCAAGAGCAGGCCGCCTTTTTCTCATTTGTACAAAAGCATCATACGTGCTTAGTTGTATCCTTGCCTACATTAGACTATAACTATTTGCTAAAAGTTTTCCCAATAACACACACACACCTACGGCTCCTTAGCATCAGCAACCATATATTATTTATTTTTGCCTCTATTCTTAGGGTCAAAAACAGTGCCTACAGATGTTTGTTGAACCCACAGATGTTCACCCACGGATGTCGGTTGAACAAATGAATGCATGAAAGTGGTCACTCAACACCTGGAGAGGACTATTCTCTTGAAAACATGGCTGTTTCATCCTAACCCCGTCCAACTATGATTTAACAGGTGTGCGTGTGTTTCCTTGGACACCATTCTCACGTGCTCTTACAGTCTGGAATCACAGATGCTTCATCTTCTTTCTCTTGGACCGCGTCTGGAACCCATCTCTTCGATTTCTCCCATTCCTCCAGTGTCCTTTCTTTCATGTGTCATTCCTGAAGCTCAATCAGTTCTGGGTGTACTGGGCAGGTAGAGTCCTCTCACATTGCCATGCTATTGACAAAGTAAAAGTCGACGTTTGGATCAGCATTTCCAGTGTCTTCCCTCTTGCACATTCGGTCCAGAAAAGACACTGAGTGGATGGTATTATGCATTAAATTGTGTCCCCCCAAAAAAGTTATATGTTAAAGACCTAACACCCAGTACGTCAGAATGCGACCTTATTTGGAGATAGGGTCTTTACAGAGGAAATCAAGTTAAAAGGAGGTCGTTAGGGTGGGCCCCTCACCCGATATGACTGATGTCCTTATAAAAAGTGGAAATTTGGACCCAGACATGCACACAGAAAGAACGTCATATGAAGACAGAGATCAGAGTGATGAGTCAATAAGCCAAGGAACGCCAAAGATCACCAGCAAACTCCCAGAAGCTAGGAGAGAGGCATGGAGCGCAGTCTCCCTCACAGCTTTCGGGAGGAACCCACCCTGCTGACACCTTGATCTTGGACTTTTAGCCTCCAGAACTGGGAGCCATAAATTTCTGTTGTTTAAGCTGCCCAGTGGGGGCTACTTGTCACAACAGCCCCAGGAAACAAATACAGCTGGATGCAAAAGGGCTGGAGAAGCCAACAGTCCACGCTGTTAAATTTAACATGGGTGCACTGACCTCGCCAAGGTAGTCCTCTTGTTTCATAAGGAAAAAGCATCTACTTTCATTTTTTTCTCCAACTAAATTGTGTGTTAAGAGACCAAGTTTGTCCTGAAATGTTCTGCTTTACTGCAACTGGTCAAGGATTGGTGGGGAATATCTGATCCTCAGCACCATGGGATAAACGACAAATGCAAACCCTGCTTTGGAAATGCAGGGTCCTTTTCTGGTCATCTCAATACCCACCCAGGGTATCGCACTATTGGGAAATGTTGCTGGCATCCACGCAGCAAAGAATAAGTAGGTAAAACACAACGATCACCGAAGTTACTTTTATCTAATGTAAAAACTTTGTATTTTTAACCATTAAAAGTTTTTGTATTTTTTAAAATATTCCCAACTGTCAAGTGTAATAAGGTACCTTCCATCTAGAAAGAGAACGGATTCATTCCGTCTTGAGGCTTCTGAAGCAATCCACATTCATCGCTCGTCGGCACATCTGAGTGATTCATGGTATCTAATTGCTCCAATAATCTTGCCTAGAGTTTGAGTTCGTTTTAAATGCCTCACACATTTTCTTCCAGTGTGTTCTAATCCTTCCCTTCTGAATCGGGGTTTAAGCAGCACGCAGAAATAGTATCTACGATCCTTATGCCACTTTTAAATCATCTGTTCCCAGCTATTTTCATAAACTTCTTTGTTACTTGAAAACTACACACAGAAGAGAGCCAGAATTTCATTTTAAAGAGAAATGCTTCTGCAACTGGTTCTCCTGAGACTCTTGAAGGCAGCACATCTAATATGGAAATTGCCATTCCGTCTAAACATTAAGGTTACTTTGTTAGCTTCTTGCAACAAATGGCTGTCACTTTTCTTTCTCAGGCCCTCTCTCGGGAAGACCTCCTCCTGCGCCTGCTGGAGTGTGACGTCATCATTTACAACATCACCGAGAACTCTCAACAAGTGGAGGAAGCTGTCTGGGCAGTCTCGGGTCAGTGAGGGGCACTCTTTCATCTCCAGGGACACTGGTTTTGTGCAATTTACTTTGCCTAAGAGTCATTTAATGAACGCTCAGCAAATTAGGAGCATGGAAAAAACTGATCTGAGACTGACTTAAGACACGAAATGCAATCAGGCTAAGGAAGATGCCTGTGGTTGGCGTTAAAACATAAACTGGGGCCTATTAAAATTTTTATGAATTTATTGGAGCAAAAGTCGATTTGAATCGGGCAGTGCCACACTGGAAATAGCTAGGATGCCCCACCTACACGAGCCAGGGGAAAGACTTTTATAGAGAAAAGCCGGAAGCAAGGCAAAGAAACTATTTGATTGGCTGTAGCTTAGGGTTTCCCTTATGTGAAGGAGCCCAGTGGCTGTTTGTGATGGGTGGTCCCTAAGCTTTGATTTCTTAACCTTGAGGCATTTACAGACTTAGGTTTTGGTTTGCTTAGCTAGGCTGCAAAGGGCATAGAGCCACCTCAGTCTAAAGGCCACCTTGCTTAATTAGCTTAACAATAGAATAGAATTCTTCCAAAGAATGGAATATTCTCAATCATTGAAAGAAATGAAACATTAACTTCCAAAATTCAACCCTTACTCATTCCACACGCACTGCTTAAGGAGGTGGGCTTGAATGTACTGGGAAAATACAAAGACAAATAAGAAAGAGATCATACTCTTGGGGCACCGGTAGACCCAGGAGTGAGCTACAGCATGATGACTCTTTGTGAGTCATCTCCTTACTAGGTCAGATGCAAAGGAGAAAGCAAATTAGCTTACTTGAATCATCATTCTAGAGGAGACAGCCAAAAAGACACAGAGCACCTTACATTTCAATATTTTTTAGACTTCAACATCTTTGTTTTAGGCAAATTAGATCAGGGGTCAGAGAACTCTTTATGTAAAGGGCCAGATAGTAAATATTTTTGGCTTTTGAGCCAACCACTCTGCTACTGTGTCAAGATGGCGGCCATAGACATATGTAAATGAATGGACTGAGTTCCAATAAAACTTTATTTACAAAAACAGTCAGTACTTTGCCAACCCCTGAATAGGATCAACAGCAAAGCTATATTTTGGCTTAAATTCAGAGAAATGGAATGGGGCCTCAGGAATGACGGTACCATATTGAGGGAATAATGCTGGAAAAGCACTGTCTGTGGAGGTGTGGGACTTCTCAGGAGCTTAGAATGTTTGATTTCTCGTCTATAACTCTGTGCCTAAACTTCCTTTAGTGAGATATAAATCAAAACTATGAACATTGTGTCATCTTTGGCAACAGAGCTTTTTGAAAGCCCACTTTCTGCCTTTTGTCCCTTTGCAAGTATTTACAGATGATGTATAATTGCACCTTCTAAAATAACTGTACCGCCTAAAATAATAATCAGAGCCAATGTTTACTGAGTTGTTATTTTATGCCAGGCTTTGAAGATTGATTTTTCTATATAACGTATACTTGCAACGTTTTTTTTTAATTTTAAGTTTTTTCCTGAAATAAAATCTGGATATGTTTTGCAAATTAAGAAGCACAGTAGGGCTCAGAATGAAAAGCACCCATTTCCTGCCTTTCCTTTCTATCTCATCCCTAATCCCCAAAAGGAACCACATTTCATCCACTTGTTCCTTTTTAACACATAAACATGCTTGCCCTGATGTCCTTTGACTGTGCATCCCAGACATTAACCGCTGACTTCCTGCTGTCACAGGGGAGCCTCAGCCCCTCACAGGAGCACCCCACAGCCCCTCAAGGGGACATGATCCTTTCTCAAACTTTGAGACTGCCTTCCTTTTCATGAGCTTTAAATGTAGAGTATGTTTTACTGCTTCCTTCTTCATGCTAATAACGAGCTTTAAATAATTAGGAACATTTTAGGGGGCCGGCCCGGTGGCGCAGCGGTTAAGTTCACACGTTCCACTTCCGTGGCCTGGGGTTCACTGGTTAGGATCCCGGGTGCAGACATGGCACCACTTATCAAGCCATGCTGTGGTAGATGTCCCACATATAAAGTAGAGGAAGATGGGCACAGATGTTAGCTCGGGGCCAGTCTTCCTCAGCAAAAAGAGGAGGATTGGCAGCAGATGTTAGCTCAGGGCTAATTATCCTCAAAAAAAAAAAAAAGAACATTTTAATTCTCTATTTAGTGGAAAGGCTTTAGCTGTGTTACCTCATTTTTGAGATCTAGAGTCTTTGTCTCTGCAAGAAAGTATAGTCAGAGGCCTTGGGTCTGACATCGGGGTCGCCTGGAGGGCACAGACTTGGTGGGGCCATGGCAAACAGGGGTAGGACCTTTGTCATTTTATCTGACGCACATTCTTAGATTTGGGGGTTTTTGTTTTTCCTATGGCTATGCCTTACTTATTAATAATGTTTTATTAAATTATTTTTACATGTTTTATATTAAAAGAATTACAAATATGTAAATATTATTACATTTAATTATTTATTAAATATTTAATTATGAAATACTTTATATTAAAAGAATTCTCCTACCTTTCACAGAGAGTGTCAAAGGAAGACAAGATGACATAGGAGAAAGGAATGCAGTATTAGAAATGAAAGGAAACATTTGCGTATATGGATGAAATGTGCTTGTTCGAAAGTGAACAAGCAGATCATTGCAGACCCATTAAAATGATCCTAAGCAAAGAAGGGCAGCCCAGTTCCAGGACCTCTAAGAGTGCCACCCGTCACAAAGCAGGCCAGTCTGAGGCACAGCTGAGCAGACAGGGTAAAAGAACAAAATTCAACTGAAGAGGCAATTTTTGTTAAGAGACTAAAAATAGAAGCTAAAATTAACATTTGACTTTGGGCTGAATATGTGGACATAGTGTTCTTCGAGTTAGTGCGATAATCCTTTCTCATCTTAGGGTGGGAAGTCGCGCATCTATTAGATTCAGGATATCAGCATTTTATTCTTTTGCTTGTTTAAGAAATCAGTTCACGAGACTAAAAATGTACCGTGACAACTGTGTCACTTAGATCCTCTGACAATTTAATTAGACCTCACTTTAGACTCTTTTTCCTGGAAAATTATACGTCATGAGACATATTTCAGTGGAACCCCGTGCCGAAGCGTCCGAGGAGATGCAATGCTTAACGAACGGCGTGGCGAGCCCTGCGGAAAGCGAGGAACCCTTTGGAAACCAAATGCTCCCCGCTCTGTCCACCGCTATCGTACATCCCCGTCCCTACAGATGGTTCGCATCCAGCGTCCCCGCCTTACCCAAGCCCTCCGCATGGCCCACAGCCCGCACGGCCGGCCTGGGCGCTCTCCCCGGGCCAGGCCGAGGGGGAAGGGTGGGCAGACCCCAAATTACTTCCTTCCACGACAGTTTAAGCCAAATAGGACTGCTTTATGGGAAATCATAGGAGGGCCTTACCTTCTGATCTGGGGCTTCCACGGCCCCCATCCCAACCTTGATGGGGCCTCCTGCTCCACTCTCCAGGCAGCTGGCCCTGCCGCGCGTGGCGGGGGGGGGGGGAGCATAGGCTTTGCAACCAGGCTGCCCCCATTGGCCTCTCTGCCCCGCAACTTCCTTCCATGATTCTGCACAAACTGTGCCTCAGTTCCCTTATCTGTAAAACAGAGATCATAGTAGTCCCTGTCTCATAATGGTAAGAATTTCATAAAGTCCACGAATCGTTCCAATCCGCGTCAGCTATAATTATTACTGTCACTAGCCCTCCCCAAAAGTGGAAGCACACTGCTGCAGGGCAGGCGATGGCAAGGGGGTCAAGTTTGGAGCTGAGGTCAGGCGGCTGCAGGGAGAAAGCCGAGAACAGTGATGGGGAGGGGACAGGGAAGCGTCAGGGGTGACGCCGCCCCCCTAGGTGCTCCCGGAAGAAGGAGTAACTCCACGTCCCACTGGGAGCTGACAGTTTCCGTGATTTCGAAAACACGTTCGGCACGGGTCCGAATAACCGCTGTGCTTTTTGGCCCCACAGCACTCAATGAAGAAGTCAGCCATTTTGAAAGGCGAAAGGTGTTTATTTTATTGTCCACCGTGATGACTTGGGCGCGATCCAAATCCACGGACCCCGTAAGTAATGCGCCCGCTTTTCCTTTAGGCAGCGTTTTGCCCTCGAGTCCTTGTAATCTGCAGGCAGAGAGAACTTTGTCCGGTGAACCGTGTATTCCTGCGTTCCCGGACCTGTCCCGTAAGAAGCGCTCAGCAGCGTTGTTCATCGACTCTCAGCATGCTCCATCCTAAGGGGCCCCTTTGTTTTATATGCCACTGAAAAGAAAAAGAAAATGCTGCCTACTAAACCATAAGGACGCTTACTGATCACTTACACTTCGTATTTTAAATGTATTGAGAGCTCTCTTTTAGACTTATTTAGACCTTTTTGTCGTAGACATTCTTGTGGACACATTAAAAGGAAAATATAAGCAAAACAGTGACTATGGTATTCCCCAAACTTCTTCCTAGTCAGAGTCCAGTGCCTCAGAATCACACCTACGCTCTGTTTCCACACAATGACTCCGTCTAAAACCTGTCATGTCATTTATTTGTAGGTACTTTGGTTTCCTGTAAAGCACATGATTATGACTTTGCAAGGAAATATGGACTTACAGTCATTCTTCTAACGTTGCTTATTTTCTTTGCTGATAGATTTTCTCTGCTCGGGTGCCTCCGTGCCCGTGAACCACCTTTTCACCTCAGTGCTGACTCACAGTGTAATCTTTTAAAAGACAGTCAAAAAGGCAATTAGATCAACATGTGTAGTGCCTAACTCAGTGCGAAGGGATGACATTATGAACCGTTGTGCTCGAGGTCACCCAGGCACCAGCAAGGACGGCAGCAATGCTTCCAGGGTGACAACAGTTATAGAAAGCCATTGATTACAGGAGACATTCTAATTTCAGAGATGTTAAAATGTGAAAAAAAATGCACATGTTGGAATTGATGGAATACGTTATTTATAATAAGGAAATGTTTAGGGATTTATCACACTTTTTGCATCAAATGCCATTTGTTTGTTTAATTATCTCTCCCTTGGTGGATCTTTGAGGACAAGGACCAGTGATTTCATGTCTTTTTCTTGTAAAGTCACTTACCTACTCCATTTGGTTGCTGTCATCTCAAGGAGCAGGCTAGTCATTTTATTTCTGTTATAGTTCTTTCCTTCAGAGTGTCTCGTAAAGTGTCGGCTACATAACGATCATTGGTCACGTGACTGGCTGACCATTTTGCTGACCTGATTAACTGTCCCCACTCCTTCAGTTATAAACTAAATCGTGCTGACTTAAGCAAGATAGGAATTTATTGACTCACATAATTGATGAGTCAAATAATGGACTTCAGGCACAGCTGAATCTAGAGGCTTAGACAATGTCCTCAGAGCTCACCTAGTCTGTCTTTTCTATTGCTTCTTTTCTCCTCTGAGAAGGCTTCATTCTCAGGTAAGCTCTCCCCTCCTCCTGGCCCCCAGCAGCTCCCAGGCTTACATCCTTAGAGCTTTAATTGTCTTTTCCACTTTGGCCAAGTCCCCTCCTAAGACTGGAATATGCTATTCATCCAGGTCTCAGGTCATGGGCCTAACACTGCACCAGTCACTGTGGCCAGGCGATTGCAGGGCTCTGATGCACCAGACCTGGGATCATATACCCACTTCGAGAAGCAAGGATGATGAGCCCCCTAAACTAGGTGGACTGAGAGTAGAGAAGAGATGGTTCCGCAAATAAAATATGGGGAAATGGCTCCTGTGTTGAGCTCCTGTGTCTTTTTGGAATGTCCCCATCCTCTCACTGTGGTTTGAATTTGCATTTCCCTAATGGCTCATGATGATTTAAAATCGGGTTTATTAAGGTATCATTTACATACAGTAAAATTAACCCTTCTTACTGTACAATCTATAAGTTTTGAAAAATGCCTACAGTTGTGTAAGCACAACAATCAAGATATAGAACTTTTCCATCACCCCCCAAAATTCTCTGCCTCAACCACACAAAAAGAGTTCCAGATGGAGCACACATTTAAATGTAAAAAGCAAAATTTTCACTTTTTAAGAAAAATTACAGAATTTATAGGGAAGGATTTCTTAAACAAGACCCAATAATGCTAAATATTTTAAAAAATTGATAAATTCAACTGCAATGAAATTAATGAAGTATTTATGGATGAAATGATCCTGTGTCTGAATTTGCTTGGAAGTAACCCAAGGGGCTGAGGAAACAGATGCGGGTATAGAGGAAGCAAGATTTGCTGCATGGAAGCCTGAAACCCACGGTGGAAACCGCACCCAAGCCAAACTGAAGGACGTTTGGTTAAACGATTGGTCCTCATTCTTTAAAAATGGCAATAAAAGACAAAGAAAGCTGAAACACTGTTCCACATAAAGAAGACTGAAAAGACGTGGCAATTCAGTGCAATACATGATCCAGAATGAGACCCTATGTCGGAGGGAAAAAATGCTGTAAAGGACAGACTTGGGACAAGTGACAAAATGGGAGCATGGGCTGTGGATTGGATACAATTACTGTATCAGTATTTCCTGAATTTTCTTACCATACCATGGCTATTTAGGAGAATGTGCTTAGGAAATACACACCGAAAATTAAAGAGAAAAGGAGTATGATGTATGCAACCTACTCTCAAATGGTTCAGAAAAGATAGATAATAATATGTGTGGTGTTGGGGAAATCTAATTAAAAACAAAATCTTTCCCCAACCCAGAAAATCTCTCCACAAGGTAGTAGAGAAAGAAAACAGCTTTCTTAACTGAATAAACGTTGAACGGGGATGTCATGCGCATCACAGGCGGTCCGCCGGGAGATTGCAAAGATCGAAGGGAATCCCACCGTTTTGTAGAGGCAAGCAGATACAAGCACGACAGACATGTTTTCCTGAAAAACATGAAACTAGTCCCTGAGGAAGAGGACTTGACAGCACCATTTGTCACACGTATTTTGTCCTAGATCCACCTAGTAATTGGGGTGACCACGTGTGTTAGCTAACTGACTTCATCCAGAGGAAAAGCAAACTTTCGTATCTTTGTAAGAGGAGATCCTTTTGCAGCTTGGAGCAAGGAGCCCCCCAAAGTGAGGCTCCTACCCTCCCCCAGGGACTGGAAGATAGGGGTGCTGTCTCCTCTGACATTTACATCTCAAAGAAATCTCTCCAGGGTCCTTGAGGACGACATTTCTTAGTAGTAAAGCAGACAAGACACTTACTCATCTTCTAAAAGGACTTAGGCACATTTCAAAGAGAGAGAGAGAAAGAACTTACAAGTGTTTTAAAGTAAATGCTCTAAGAAAACCAACTGATGAGGGAGAAAACTCTATCCTTATTTTCAACAGGTAGAATTAAGCCTCTTATTTAAAATTTGTGTTTGTCCTTAAAATATACATATGAAGAGAGAGAGAGAATGAGAAAACAATGTGGCAAAATGTGAAAAGTGAGGGCATCTGAGTAAGGGATATGTAGGAGTTCTCTGTATTATTTTTACAAACTGTCTATAAATTTGAAATTATTTCAAGGTAAAAAGTTTATAAATAAATAAAATGTAGTAGAAGCACGCTGGGAGCAGAAGAAAGCCCAAAGGGAATTTTAGTTTTCCTCGCGTGATGAACAGTTTCGCTGATAGTCTGTTCTGGGAGTTTTGTGCGCGTCACAGGCGACTGGTAATTGTCGTTAAACTCACCCAGCTCTGCCAGGGCCTCTGAGGGGCTGAGGGGCTGCAGACCTGCCTCTCTTTCTCCCTCAGGTCAGCACAAACATAGAATGAGGCCCTCTGTGTGCCACCACTTCAGGTCTACGAATGCCTCATTCCCCAAAGATGTTCACCGTACCAGAAAGAGTTATGATCGCAAGTTCAAACCTGAAGGTAATATCCGTCATCAGCGTCTGGCCATCGAGCTTATCAGTTCCCCCTTCTAGGGAAAAGGAAGCAAACTGAGCCCAAACTGGTCTTGGCAATGATCTTTTTGGATCTGACACCAAGAACACAGGCAGTGAAAGCAAAAATAAACTATGTCAAACTAAAAAGCTTCTGCACAGCAAAGGAAACCATCCACAAAGTGAAAAGGCGACCTAGGGAATAGGAGAAAATATTTTCAAATCGTATATCTGGTAAGGGGTTGATATCCCAAATGAGTAAAGAAGTCATCCAACTCAATAGCAAAAATCCCCAAATAATCCAATTAAATAATAGGCAGAGGATCAGGAGAGACATTTTTCCAGAGAAGACACGCAGATAGCCAACAGTTACCTGAAAAGATGTTCGACATCTCTAATCATCAGGGAAATGCAAATCAAAACCGCAACGAGCTATCACCTCACACCTGTTAGAGTGGCTGTTATCAAAAAGACAAGAAACAACAAGTGTCGGTGAAGATGTGGAGAAAGGGAGCTCTTGTGCACTGTTGGTGGGGTTGTAAATTGGTGCAGCCACTATGGAAAACAGTATGGAGGTTTCTCAAAAACTTAAAAATAGAACTACCATATGATCCAGCAATTCCGCCTCTGGGTATTTATCCAAAGAAAACGAAATTACTATCTCGAAAAGATATATGCACCCCCATACTCATTGCAGCATAATTTACACAATAGCCAAGACATGAAACAACATAAGTGTCCAGGTGAATGGATAAAGAAGTTCTGGCAGGTATATACAATGGAATGTCAATCAGCCATAAAAAAGGAGGAGATCCTGCCATTTGTGACAACATGGATGGACCTTGAGGACATTATGCTAGGTGAAATAAGTCAGAAGGAGAAAGACAAATACTGTATGACCTCACTTATATGTGGAATCTTGGGGGAAAAAAAGAGAATTCGTAGATACAGAGAACAGATTAGTGGTTGCCAGAGGTGGGGTCTGGGGGTTGGGGAAAGAGTGAAGGTGGTCAAAAGCTACAAACTTCCATTTATAAGATAAATTAGTCCTCGGGAATGTACAGCATGGTGACTACAGTGAATAATATTATATTGTGTATTTGAAAGTTGTTGAGAGAGTAGATCTTAAAAGTTCCCATCACAAGAAAAACAAAGTTATTATGTTGATGATGGATGTTAACTAAACTTATTATGGTAGTTATTTCATAATGTATACATATAGCAAACGATTATATTATACACCTAAAATGAGTACATTATATTTCAATTATATCTCAATTTTTTAAAAAAGAACGTTAAATCACTATTAAAATAAGCAGTAGTTTTTAGAATGCTTTATTTGAACGTAAGGGAACGTGGTCACTCTAGCATCTTTGGGCTTAGAAGTTTTATGTAGCCCTAACACACCAAGTCTGTCCTTTTTTCTTTTATAGGATGATTCTGACATTCCATTTACTGAAGAGGATTATCGAAGAAGAAAACAGCATCCTAATTTTCTGGACCACATAAATGCTGAAAAAATGGTCCTCAAATTTGGAAAAAACGTAAGTCTGGAATAGCAAAGTGTTTAGGGTAAGAAAAATTTTGATCTGGCCTGGTGGCACGGCAGTTAAGTTTGCACACTCCACTTCGGTGGCCCAGGGTTTGCCAGTGAGGATCCCACACACAGACCTACCCACTGCTTATTCAAACCACACTGTGGCAGGCATCCCACATATAAAGTCAAGGAAGATAGGCACAGATGTTAGCTCAGGGCCAATCTTCCTCAGCAAAAAGAGGAGGATTGGTGGTGGACATTAGCTCAGGGCTAATCTTCCTCAAAAAAAGAAAAAGAAAAATTTTGAGACAGTATACAATGCACATGGCCATGACTGTTCCACATGCTTTACATACATCATCTCAACTCATTAAACATCTCCTTGTTTAGTTTCCTCATCCTTACACCCACAGATCTCTGAGCTTCAGGCTCACCCTAAGATGCACTGTCCTTAGGCCCTGGCCCAGGTTCTGGTCCAGCCCATTAAGTTGAAAGCCTTGTCTGGGGTCCCCAGCACAGCTCTAGCCATCACCTACCAAGGAGTCTGTGGGTCCGAAGAGCAGCCTAGCCCAGAGGAGGCAGATAACTCGGAGTTGAGATGGGGAGGAAGGGAACCACATTTTCCCTTTTTCAGGAAGGTATCCCATTTCCTTCTCACAACAACTCTGAAAAGTGCATGTTCACCTCATCTTACAAATAAGGATGGAGGCTTCCAGAGGTTAAGTAAGCTGCTCAAGGTTGCATAGCTGGGATTTACTAAGCACCGTCCTGAGCGCTTCTTGGCCTGTCTGATCTACCCCTTAGAGCAATGGAATTGTGTCCACACATAACCACCCCCATTTCGCGGATGCAGCTCTGTGGGAGAGGCGTCAGGTGGTGGAGCTGTGATTCAAACCTGCATCCGTCAGACACCAAAGCCTACCGGTTTTGTTTTTATTTTTTTCCTGACTCCAAAGCTCCCTCATTTGATAGAGTTGATCCTGGCACATCCATGGTGACCAATTATTAAAACATACGTATAGCTGAGAAGTTCATGTGAACAATAATAATAGCCTATTAGCCTTCTGTTGCAGCAAAATTTGTCATTTTGACATATATATTATAAAATTATTTTATTTCTCTTATCTTTTATCAAAATAGATGACAAGAATGCCCTGGTGATGAATGAGTAGTAACAGCTGAAAATTGTGAGCTTGCTCCCTATGTGCCAGGACTGTGCTAAATGTTTTACTTATGGTACCTCAGGCAATCCTTGTGTATCTCATATATAATCCTCAAAATTCTATGAATTAAGTTCTATTATCATCAACATCATTTAATGTATGTAGAACTGACATAGAACACCCAACCTCTAAAGGTTCCATCCACTGGAGTTTTCCCATTAGCAGAAGATGCGCAGTAGCGATATGTAATAATAGCTCTAAGATGACACCTAGTGGTCTCAGCAGATATTACCGTAGGAGCTTTGTCCCCAAGTCCTGTCCTACCATTAAATTATTTTTTCTTTTTTACTTTGACAATACAAACAGCGTGAGTACAAACTATTTGAAGTAAACAACGTGGGACCAGGGATTCTAGCCCCTTTTCTACCCATTACCTTGTGACCTTAGCCAAGTCATTAAACTTTGGGGGTTAAAATAAATAAATAAAATGAAGGGGCTATACTAGACGGTGTAAATTCCTTCCAATTCTGAATCCTATATTATTTTATTAAACTTGGAACATTGCCCCAAATAGAAAATCCATGATTTCCTGATCATTTATGTCTAATTCATTGGGTGAGAACATGTGATCACACATACAAAAATAATCGATGTGAATGACAGTCTAAATTGGAGAAGTATTATCTTAATATCTTTTTTATTATTAAAAACATTAAATTTGTCCCATGCTCTAGATGATGCAATCAAAATTTCATTTTAAAAATCTATTCTTTTTATCCTCAGTTTTCTTAATCACTCTTTTCTGCACAATTAATAAGGTAAGGTTGGTGGCCAACTTGGTCATCTCGATGAGCCTTTTTTAACCTAGCGTTTTTCATCAGGTGGGTAGGACTTTAGAAGTAATCATTTAGGGGCTGGTCCCGTGGCTGAGTGGTTACGTACGTGTGCTCGTTAGGTGGCCAGGGTTCACCAGTTCAGATCCGGGGCGCAGACCTAAGCACTGCTCATCAAGCCGTGCTGTGGCGACATCCCACATAGAAGAAATAGAATGACCTACAACTGGGATATACAACTAAGTACTGGGGCTTTGGGGAGGAAAAAAAAGAAAAAGAGGAAGATTGGCCACAGATGTTAGCTCAGGGCCAGTCTTCCTCACTAAAATAAACTAGAAGTAATCATTTAACACATATCAGTTTATATCCTACAGTGTACTAGGCACTGTGGCTAAGAGCTGGCCTCAGCCACAGACAAAACAGATGTGGTCTCTGCACTCCTGAGGCTGGTCGGCCACGGTCCATCTACTGTTACCACACCTGCAGCGATCACGTTTATATTCATGTGCTGTATTACAAACACAAGAAGTTGCACTTATTTAGTATTTTGAGGCAAAGGGAAGCCCTAATAATTATACAAGTTAGCTAAATAGTTCTGATTTGCCTAACACCCCCAACACAGCTTTAACTGGGTGCTTCCATCTTTAAATGAGTCACGCTGACTATTTGGAATATTTTAAAATGTTTAAGACTTTAAATATTAAAATATTCAAAAATATAGTTATATTGACTTTAATTAGTATTTTGAATAAACCAGAATTGCCGGTCTGTTTTGCCCCAAGTCACTTAAATCATTAAGTGGCCTCCGAGCACCCATTGTGTATATGGTCCCAGAAACAAAATAATCTGCCAGATCTCAGCGGCAAGCTATGAAATTTGTTGTAATAGATAATTATCCCACTGGCTTTTGGTGCTTATATTCTCTGACCAACCCAAGGCACTCATGATAACTTTTTTTAATAAAAATGTTTCTGGATTTGCTTTAATAACGCGATATTTGAGATTTTTGCACTTACATTCAAGTTTCCGAGTGAGATTGGCCTATCGTCTTCCTTTGTCATACTGTCTTTTTCTGGTTTTAGCGTTGTGTTTCTACTATCCTCACCATTAGTTGGGAACAAAATTTTCTGTTCTCTGCAATATGTATGAGAATGGGCTTATCCCTTGAATATTTGAGAGAATTTGCCTGTAAAACTATCGTGGACTGTGTGAAGGCAGTGGCGGGATTTGGGGGCAAGAAATTAGCCTTTTACGCTGTTTTCACGTTAATTGACATAAAGTTGTCCGTAAGTCTCTCTTGATGATTTTTAAAATCTCTGTTTGTAGTTCGGTTCCCCTTTATGGACTAATATTTGTGAGGGGGCATCTCTGCTTTCCCACTCCTCTAGTTCCCACGAGGATGATCCTGGAGGCTTCTGCCTAAGTACTGCTCCCTTCTTACTGACTCCTTATCCCGCCTCCTGAAGCTCAACCAACTTACCTGATTGGTGGGTTTGGGGGCGTGGTCATGTCACTTTGGCCCCTCCTCCCTCCGGTCTCTCCGGGATCCCACTGACTGCAGCAAACGAGTTCTAGCTTCTTCATGCCCTAAGTTTTACAGGGCAGGCCCCCTGTGGAGAAGTCCATAATTTTCCAGCGCTGCCTGTGACTGGTGGGGAAAGTTTCTTATTGTGGGGTTCAGGATTAGGTAGCCCCTCGTCTTTGCTCACCTAAGGAGTGTCCTCCAGCCAAACCCCCATCAGTAAGGAAGGTGGTAATTTACTTGAGCCTTATGCCTTTTTTTCTTCATCCATCTTAACCAATTTTTCTATATTATTATTACTAAAGAAGTAGCTTTTGCTGTGTTAGTTCTCTCTCTTTCTTTTCTAATTCGTTAACTGTTCTGTCCTTATTATTACATCTTCCTTCTAATTTGGGTTTATGCCATTTTGAGTTAGATGCTAAATTTACTAATATTCAGTCTTTGCCATAGATTTGCCACTAAACGCAGTTTTAGCTGCATCCCACAAGTTTTGAAATGCCCTGAATAGTATTTTCATAACTATTAATTTCTAAAAATTTTCTAAAGTCTATTATAATTTCTTTTTTGGCCTGTGAGTTATTGAGAAGTGTTTTTTAAATATCCAAATATATGGAGAAGTCATTATCCTTTCATTGTTCGTTTCTAATTTGATTGCTTTATGGTCAGAGAATGTGGTCCATGTGGTGGTGATTTGGTGACATGCTTTGCTACATAGTACATGGCCAGTTTTTCTAAATCTTAAATTCCATATGGACTTGAAAAACCTGTGTATTTCAGACCGTTTGTGCTGAGTTCTATATATGTCTACTTAGGTCAAATTTCCTAATGGCATTTTGCAAATCTTACTAATTTATCAATTTATCAATTACTGAGAGGGGTATACTAAAAATCTCCCACTGTAAAGTGAACGTATCCACTTCTCCTTGAAATTATGTTCAGTTTTGCCTTATTCACTTCTAGGCATGCTCTTGTAACTCCTTCACAGTGTTAGACATTACAGGAATGAAACTGTAAATTTTTCTTTTTTTTTTTCTGCATTATCTCCCCAAACCACCCCCCCCCCCCCGCCCCCGTACATAATTGTATATCTTAGTTGCCGGTCCTTCTAGTTGTGGGATGTGGGACACCGCCTCAACATGGCCTGATGAGCGGTGCCATGTCCGTGCCCAGGATCTGAACCTTTGGCCACCACAGCAGAGCGCACGAACTTAACCACTCGGCCACGGAGCCGGCCCCTAAATTTTTCTTAATAATTGCCACTAGAACAATATCTCTAGCAAAGTCCACAGCTTTTCAGACCATTCTTGGGTGTTAATAAAGCCTTTTCTAGTTCTTATGAAGACTCAGACGAGTTTACTACTAAAACCATCAGTCTATCATTTAATTTTAAACTTCTCTCCTCCCAGCTCAGCCTGACTCAGGCTCGAAGGAATGAAGTAGGCAGGGAGGCTAAGATGTGCTCAATTCTTTTCTCTGCCTTATTCGACCT